ATTTACGAGCTCTAATTCTATTGAGTCCAATGTGTAAGCAATTGTAATTGTTGTAATTAGCACTCTTATGAACATAATCAGTGAATTACACAAAGGTCCATTCATCATAAACTTAATCTAATACTAAATTGTCTACCCAAACTTGTACTCTAAATTTGACTGAATTGGATGTCTATTGAAATCTTAAGGACAATTTCTCAATTTCAAATTCTCCAAGAAGATTGACTTCAAATCTCCTAATCTATTACTTATTTGACAATTGCATAATTAGAATCTAAGACAGAGGATCCTTTTAGCATATCAAGGTTTTCTAGTTACCATTCTATTCAATCTATTTTTCATCGATTTCTTAGATTTGAACTTATCCTTGAGGACCTCCGTATTTGGTTGAAAATAAGAACATATCTTTGTGTTCAATTGTTTTCAACTTTTGTAAAGCAAGCAATAAAGATTTTATAGCCAGATCTGTGATTTCTTGTGTTTTAAATTTGGCTGTGTAAGTTAACAATCCTAAAAAGTATTCTAAACCACTTTCTGTCAAAACTACTTTTTCAATCTTATTTAGTATCTGTTGTGCCACTTACAATAAAATATCATGAAATTCATCGTGTTATTAGAGATGTCTGAAGAATTCTGTTACTTATTCATTTACATTCTAAGACAACACATTTCCAAGAATAAATTTAGATAAACTAATGATTTCTAATACTTTTTTGGATTCTTTCTTCATGAATAAATTAAGAACACTCAAAGCCCCTGGTTTTTTCTGATATACCTCTTCTATTAGGTTATCTAATTGATTGATATATAAATTATTATATTTTTTCCCTGTCACTGTCACCTTTAATAATTTATATTCTTAATCTTCATATGGTTTGATAATAAAATCTCCTGAAAATACAGTATCAAATTCAATAATACCATTGCTTGGGTACCCATTTATTCCTTAATATTAACATTAAACAATCAATTTATCTGGTAGATCAATTCGTTTTCTAAGTTAGGTTAATAATTAGCAGTCTGAGATTGTACCAAAAGTTGAATTTTCAATTTAACTCTTGGGAATTTCAATTCCGTAAGCAGCAAAACCTTTGATTTCAACGGAGTTAGTTTAAATATGTGCTGTATGATCATGAGGTGTTTTTCTAAAGTTCGTTGGTTTAAGCATTAAATATTTGCATGGTCGTATAACTTCCAATTTGCATAGAGCCTCTTTTGAGTCTCCTTCAAATTCAAAGTACCCTACTGGTTGATTTGCAAAGAGACTTTAATGAGTTGATTTCCATTTTTCATATTGTTGTTTATCAAAATAATCAAATTCTGAAGTGTCATTCAACTCATGCTCTTCTTTTGAAGTAAAGATCAATCCAGTTCCAATGGGGAATCCTCTGAAGACATTGGTGATCTCACTTTTAACTCTAACATGGTCCACGAGCATAATTTCATCAAATTGACTTCTGAATATAAATTAAGTGTTTGGATAATTGCTTGAGAAGGGTTTATTACTATCAAAGAGCATTTAAGTAACAAAAGTTTAATCATTAAAGGAGGCACCTTTGAATGAATGGACAGTTAAAGGTAATTTTTAAGGATCACTCACTGTTAAGGGACTGTTCATTAATGGAATTTATTTGGGTTCTTCAATGGGTCCTTCAAAAACAGCTTTGACGTGGATGTGAGTGTAATTATCAGCAATTTAGAATTTCTAACTGTGAACATCATCAGTAACAGTTTAGAAGATCTACACTTCCTCACTTTGAATAATATTATTCTCTAAGATTTCAGAGTTGTCTTCAATTTACTTGTGTTGGGTGTTACTTTCATAGCAGATGATATTATCTTTAATATATGCATTTGAAATTGGTTCTTATATTTCAGAGACATTTAATTGAGAATTGATAATCAAATTTTTTGACTGACTATAAATTAGACATTTGGTTTTGGAAATGAGGAGATTGTAATCAGATCCGATGAAGATCTATTTCTAAAGTTCAATTTTAGAGTTTTAAGTGATTTCATAAATGTTTAATGCTTAGTCACCCATCAAAAAAACATAGAGTCTATTATTCCAAATAGCACTATCAATAGCTTTAATCTCATATTCTAATTGAATTGCTTTATGATCAACTAGATTCATCTCTAACTTTTTGCAATGTTTACTATACAGAGGAGCCAGAGTCTCAACTATTTATCGACTTGTTTCAGATTGCAATAATAATGAGTAATCCTTGTTTTTGCTCCAACAATTTGTTAATACACAATAATAGCCATCCTCATTTATAAAAAATTGATCCAAATAATTTTAGGAATATGATATGAATTTAATAGAGAGTATATTTTTATTATGAACACTTGCCACTAATATTGGAAATGTTGTATTATTACTATCCCAATGAATAACTGAGACATGATTGATAGTGCTTTCAGTGATTTTATCTTTAAATTCCTAATGAATTTCTTCCTTTTAATCCACTTCCACCAAATCTTATTAAATTTGCAATGGTTATTTAATAAGAAATTCTTCTTCCTATGAATCATCTGGTCTTGGACCTTCACAAGCCTCGCAAATTTGATTGGTTTCTTTATTGACCAAAGTACAGAATTTGCATTGCCATTCTCCAGTGGTTCTACTTACAATGTCGAGTGCTTTGTCAAAATTGTTATTAGTCTGTATAAGTGCCTCTTTGCAATCTGATTCCTCAAAACCCATTCTGATCAACTTCTCAAGTATTGTTTGATCATATAATGGCAATTGTTCGGTTTCCCCAATAATATAATTTTCCAATATTTTATATATGTGACTGGGTGTTTCCTCCTATTGGACATCTATTACCTTGATATTTTTTTGATATGGTCCCAATTGTCTCAAATCTACATCAATGACTTTGAATAGTTCTGCTTCTCCATTGTAAATGGTTAATCGATCTTAATTCCTCAATGAGAAATAGCGATCACTTTTGCATGGGATTATTTAGCCTTATGCAGGTATTTCACTTCGCAATATTAATTTCGAATGTTTGGTTCCATTGTTGTTGATGTCATTATCACAATATGCATACTTGACTCCTGAACCTGGTTGTAAGTATTTTCCATATTCAACAACTTTAAATGGATTATCTGTAGCAGGATGATCAACAAATGTTTACAATCTCATCTTAGCAGATTCAATACTTCTGACCTCTTCAAATTATTCTATCAATTAAACAATTATTCTATCGGCTATTCTGCATAGTTCTATTGAATATTTGTATTCAAATTCATCCTTTTTTTCTTCCTACACTATTTCCTCGTTATTTGGCAACATCTATGTGATCTCCTGCAACAATTAATCTTTTTCCTTCTCCTATGGTTTGCTCTCAAATTTCTCCTTCAACTTCCTCACATGATGTTTTAAATATTGTCTTACCCTTTTAAGTTTTTGTGATGTTTCTTCATTCAAAATTAAATATACTATCTCATTCTGGTCATGATAATCGCAGATCACCAACTTCATCTTTATTAGTACATCTAAATCTGCCTTAGGAATCTGTTATCCAACCAAAGGACAATTTCGAACTGACACTAATCGATCTTGCAATTGATGAATTTCATTTCTATCTATATCATATTATAGATACTTATTAATCAAGAAGAAGGGATTTGGATGCTACGATTACTAGGTCTCAAGCTGAACTTATTCGCAATGCTCTACGACACTGCGATCCTCATACTTCATTGTCAAATACACCGAATTGCCAAATTGCGATAATCTAACACAAGGGTACCAAGGACATGAAATCAGACTGCCCTTTGGTATGCCTTTGTTAGTACTCAGATTGCCATTCAAGTAGAATTACAGTGATTACTCGTTGAAATTGAGAAGCACACCCACTACTCTCTGAGTTGTCGTTTTAAATTCGAATAGGTGTCCCTCAAAGTTTTCGCTTGGAGATTACTATTTGGATATGCCAATCTGCAATTAGGACTACGCCTTACTTTCACTCCATCCGTATTAAAAGGGCATACGATTTCCCAATAATGAACGCCTTCGCTGAAGCATACATTTGCAATTGCTAAACCACTGGAGTCTTTTGCTGGATGCAGCTGCTAAATTCTTGTGCCTTAAAGCGATGCCACTGTATGTGGTGTTAAATGTGAAAAGAACATTAAATTAAATAATTACCTCTGATACATTCTGAACAGGTATTTAGATTAATGTACAAGAATGAAATACACTTCTTTATCTAAATCATTTTATATTACGAACTCAATGCCCCCATCTATATACTTGAGATCCTTCACTTTAAATACCATAGAATAGAAGAGATTTAATGAAATATTATTTTTGAGTTAGAGGAATTCTATTTATTAAATTATACCTTATGTATATATTTATAAAATGCTTCTATTTGAGTATTTTAATCTAACCATCATTCATTAAATTAAATAATTTAAAAAATATGTCATCAGATTCAGGATCGCATAAAAAAGAGGAAGCCAATCGAATTTATGTGACAGGATACTCTGCTAAAGAATCTGAAATGGAAATTAAGAACGCTTTTGCTAGACATGGCGAAATTCAAGAATTTTCTTGGAAAGGGCGATTTTGTTTCATCGTAAGACATGGACCGTTTGGCATTTAGGGTACAGGCTTATGCCAAGCCTGAGGACGCATCTGATGCAGTTAGATTAATGAATATGCAAGACTTCAATGGAAGAAATCTAATTGTCGAGTTAGCACGAGCAAAGAAAAAAGATGGTGCATGTTATCAATGTGGTAAATAGGGGCATTTGTATTTATTCTCATCATTCTTTTTAGTGCCCGCAATTGTCGTTTGAATCGACGCTCCTACTCTGACTCCAGGTATAAGAACATGTGACATTAGGCGCCATTCAAAAAAGAAAAAAAAACATCCAAAGCATAGATCTTCCAGCTCTTCCTCCAGTAGTGAAAAGAAAAAGTCTAAGAAAAAAAGGAGAAAGAGTTCCTCGAGTTCTCATTCCCGATCAAGTGATTGATATTAAACATTCAAATAATATTAATAGTAAATTTATAATATAAATCTCATTCCTAAAATCTTTAATTTGTGATGTGGGATAAAATTGTAGTCATAGTTCTATCCTCATTCCCTCCCTTTTAGTCTCTCTTGAATGTGGGCATCTTTGAAAGATTTCTTTTAATATTTTGTTAACTCACTTCGTTATCTCTAATAAATGACCTCTTATCCACTTGAATAATAAATATGAAATCTTACAATCAATCACTCCAAAGCATTTCTCATTATGCATTAATAAATTGCTCTAAATCATGAATGTCTCCAACACTTTGTGTCCAAAAGTAACAAATATTCTAACAGATTCCTCTGCACAATAGTTATTGATCTTTTAAGCTATTACATCACTCTCCTATCTCACAAATGTCTTAATTTCTGTTTACATAACTCTTGTTTTTAGGAACATCTCATTCAAATTAACAGTCTTGAAACACGATGCTTTTGCAGCACTGCTAACTCCATTTTCCTTGCATTAAGGTGACAATGGCTCTTAACAAAGTAGAGTGCGTTTAGGCTTTTAATTATTAATGAAGAACTGGAAACAATTGTCAGGTAAAAATGGATTTAGGGATTAAACATGAACAGAAAAATTCCATAACATTGTCGACTAATTAATTCTATTTATCTCCAATTTTGACTTCATCACATTATGCTGTCTATTTTTAGAATCTATTTTTGTGCCATCTTTAATAATAGAATTAATAAAGTACCTGGACAAACAAGTGCGAAGTCTAATTAAAAGTTATTCTTATTTGGAACATATATCAGAATATGATATTGATTAATAAGACTATAATAGTCTGGGATCATAGGAATATTTAGTAACTACCCTGTAGAATTAGCAAGCACGTCAAAATCATATGATACTTACAAGAATCCTTTTCTTTATGCATGTACTCTCACTTATTTAAACATCAATCCTGGACAACTATAGAATCCTTAATCGTTGGTCATGCCTACTATAGGTTCTTGATCTGCTTAATCAGATTAAAATATTTCTAGTCTGCAATTCTCAATATCTTTGTGCGATCCACTTCTTAAGAGAATATTGTAGGCTCTAAATTACAAGGTGGTTTCAACACAACTAACTAAATCAAATTCAATTTTCACATCAGCATTCCCTTATAAAAATACTGTTCTCTTTTAGGAGAAACAATCCTTTTTACTCACATCAATTAGATATTCTTATTTGTCTCTTCCATAGAATACAAAAGCTTATTCATTTATATCAAAAGTCAATGTCTCCGTAATACTCTTAGTCACATTAACAGTAGCATCCTCGGGAGCTTTGACAATGCATTTGATCACATCATTTCTTTCTACTCTAGTAGAAACATACACAGTGTCTGTATTATCGTCAAGGAGTTCATCAACATTTAATTGAGTTTTCGTTGTTTAAATGCAATTACCAGTTAATTTCTATTTCATAAGCATTGACTTATTAAACTAAATCAATAAATTTGGCTTCATCAAAACAACTTATTGGAACTGTTTGACTGAACAATTTAACAGTGAATTTTTTCTCAGGTGATTAGGCTCTCTGCTTTTATCCTGATAAATCTATTTAGGAGACATTAGTTTGACTCATCCATGCTTAAGATTTAGTTGGCGAAAAATAAACTCTTACTGATTTCTCCATATCTCTTATGTTTTCTGTACTCTTGTAAATATCTAATTTAGATCCACTTTTTTAAGCACTCCCTTATTAACAAAATGAGGTTCTTATGACAATTTATTTTGTAGGAGTTTATGCTGATTATAATGTTGGAGCCTCTCTCTAACGGACAGTCACTTAAAGTCCCTCTAAAATGTTTCTTTTACATCCCCTCTTCACAAACAGGAACGACGTTTCTTGATTGGACAATCAACATTGACTGTTAAATTAAACTTTCTTAGATGGAGCCATACTAAATCAGCTATTAATTTAGGAGTGATTTGCTCTTTTTGAAAATTACCTAGAATACAATACAACTGAATGGACTTCAGGTTGATAGAGTTGGATTTATAGGTAGTGATCAGGATGACTTATTTGTTGTCGAAATACTTTTATGAAAGGATACCTATTAAATATACAATAAAATTTTACTTTCTATTGATAGTTTGTTTTATCTCATCCAATAAGTCTTAAAATGCTTCCTTTGTTTCATCTACACCTGTACTCTTAAATTTTGGATTATAACAACTCTATATGGAAACTGCTATCTGCTATGACTTAAGTTAATCAAACTCAGGAAAATTCACAAAGGAGGCCTTCTCTTGAATACACGAGATCAAATTTCTTAAAAACTCCTTGTATTACAAAGTAATTTTTGTTGTCATTGCTGGCACCATAGTGTCATTAAAAAAACTACATCTCTACTAATAAGGTACCTAACTTTGGACTTGAACTTAAATCGATTTGGAGACTGCTAAGAATTAATGCTGCTGGTTGTTTAGAACATAATTTTATAATTGATCGTTAAAAAATTAAAAGGAGAATTTGATCAGTCATCACTGTGATTAACTAGAACTCCATACTAGGTATACTATGTATTTCATTATAGAAATCTATTGAAATATTGAAAGAATCTCATTTTAATATTGCTCTCAATAGATAAATTTATGTACTTTAATTATGAGTTACAAACTTTGTTAATTTATACTTGATAAGCAATCTAAAATATTAGAATTAATCTTAAAAAATCTAAAATTAAATCAATAATAAATAAATTTTGATACTTATATCAATCCTATTATATATTCTATTCTTCCGGTTCATTCGGTCTTTTAGCACTCTCCAATTAATAACTCTGAACTTCCATACTCCAAGCTGAATCTTTTCCCCCTGAATTCTACTTCTCTTAACTATTAATTTCGTCTGGAACTTGATTTTAAAGTTACTTTTGTTAGATGCCCTCATATTAACTCTAAACCAAACGAAATAGACTAGAATTCTATTTGGCAAAGCTTAATAACTTCTAGTTCAGAGCTGAGTTCTAATTTAGATTCTCGTTGATTCTCTGAAAGGTTCGAACCAATCCTTCTGCATTTGAAGCTCCTAATTAAGCCTTAAAAAATCTAGCTACTTTTGCTAAACGAACATTAATTGGTACTAACAATCGTATTTAATAAATATACTCTCTGAACTAGCTACAAAAGTCAAGTCTAATCTTTTATCTTTTTCAGATAATTATGAATTGGATAGCAGTTTCTTTGATTATTATTGTTAATTTGTTAGAATATCGAATAAATCCTTTTAGTTAGCCATTCCATCTTGAAAAACTGGAGAACAGAATGTATTAAATAAAACTAATTAATCATCATCAAAAAAGAATAATTTCAAGCAGTCAATCTCATAGAGTTTCTTAAGAATATTTGTTAGATCTAAATCATATTGAATTTTTGATTTTGCTATCTAAGATATGATGATTTCTTTTTCAGTTTTAAAGAAATTATAACGTTATATTGATCTGAACCATTTGTAAATTAAATATTTCATGTACTAGATAAAAGAATAGGATATTTCAAAATTTAATATCTAATTTATAATTACTCATACTTGTTGTAATTATCCTGTTTTTATAGGAGTAGTTGAAGTTCTTTATTAAAATATAGTTCCTGATTAATCAGACTAATAAATAGAAGATTATCTCTTTTTTTTGACACTCTCTAAATCAAATTTAAAAACTGAGTTCATAAGAACTGCAAAGGTTTTATGTTGATTATAACTATGATAAAAGATCTTGAGGAAACTCATTATGGCAACTGCTAGGGCGGTAGCTTCAGATAATGAAGAACTAAAAATAGTAAAGAGATCCGATTGAGTAATAAAATAATATTAATTTTCAGGGGAGGATCTTATATAAAAAGAACACAGTGTTGATCCTTCTGTAAATTCTATAGGTTCTAATCTTCTTTCCTATTTATTAAAAGTAGTAGTTTAAAATAATGTTTCTTCCAATTTTATATTCATTAAATCATAAAATATTGAATTGCTTTCTTATAATTGATATATACATTACTTAAATCCATGGAAAAAGGCATAATAAAAATATCTTCATTGTTGGACATTCCAAGCACTAATTTCCAAAAGATATTAGTTGGATATGCTTCTACAGGAGATGAAAGATTGAATTATTATCTAAGTCTTGATCCTTTTATAAACAAATCTACATTGACTCTACACCAATAAATAACTATATTACCCGCTTTTTACAAATGATTAGATTTCGTCTAATGGTTTGCAATTGATATCGGTGGTATTTTTACACCCTTTGACTTAAACCTTCAAATATGAAAAGTAAGCATCAAAGTATTATCCTGTGATTATATATTCCCCATCCGCACATTAAAGATTTTGTTTTTAAGAATTTGAGATAGTAATTACATCAAAATTAAATTTTTCAACTGTGGTAGTTTCACACTTTTTTAACTTTAGATTAGTTGAATTTCTTTCATATCCTATTTTAGAAGCATTCCTCCGTTATTCTACATACTAAACATTTATTTGAATGTATCTAATATTTACTATATATATACTATTGAATTTCAGATATATTTTCAAATATATTTCCATTTTAATCTGAAACCTCAAAGGCAAATATAGTGTTATTGCTGTTTATAAATGATTAATTATAAATTGTACTCTAGGTACCAACATAAACAGTTTCTTAATCTGAAAGTGCTTTTTAAATGACTCCAATCATGTAAATTATACTAAATATCCCAACCAATATTGAAAGCACTCCACCTCGTATAACAAATTGTACATACCAATAACTGTTAAGGATTTTTGTCTTTGATTGACATTGAACTCATAAGGAGTTACTAATAAATCAGCTCTCTTTAATAAATTTATCATATTATAATTATTATTCCTGAAATACATTACTCTGCTTCTATGTAACTTATTATCAATAATTACTTTTCGAAAATTCATTAGATAACTGATGAAAGATAAGTTACTATTTGCAATCAAAAAAGAACTAACAAAAAATATTATTATCTATCGCAAAAGATAAATCAAAATTTAGAATAAATCAAGACTTTGCAATAAATATAGAAGAATATTAGAGACAAGATACTGCAAATTTGATACTCTATATTTAATCTATCCAACTATTTCTATTTATATTACTAAAGAATATTTGAACAAAACATCTAATAAAAAAGTCTTCTCGCATTCGTATAAATGAATTTATAAATATTTGTACTAATATCAATTTACTAAATTCAGTACACCCAATTTACCATCTGAAGTTCCATAACTTAATTTATTGTAACTTGTATTATAATCGATTGTCATTACCCCACTTAATGAACAGCAATATGTATCAACACACCTATACTAGGAATCAAACTGTCTTATTTCAGAAAATACACTTAAATGATATTATTGATTACCTTCCAGCGTTTGCAGCATAAATATAGTTGGTTCTCTTGTCAAACTTACAAGCATACAATTTACTAACATTGTGTTTAGGTAGTAATCCTTAAACATTATTTGCATACTCAGCCCATTCAATAGTCTATAATTTATTTAAAGTTCTAGTGTCCCAAATTTCTAATTGTTTTTCATCTCTATAGGATGCAGTGATCAATTAAAATCCTTTTGAATCCATAGAGTCTCCATAGACACAAGGGCCAAAGATATAACCAGTTGATTTCTTTTGTCTTAAATCCCATTAAATCACCATTTTATCCCATCCTCCTGTATAGAGTTAATTGTGATCTCCCTAATTAAATTTCATACCAAATATCCGATTCTAATGAACAGCAGATTGTCCTTCCACAAAAGTAGTAGGAGCCTTACTCAATTTTCCGCAATCATAAAGTTTAACCTGGACAATCAGAACCACCTATTACAAACTTATCTCCATCCAAGGAGAATTCACAACAATTGATTTGATTATCCTTATCTTCTAAATTAAACAATGATTATTTAGATGTCGCATGCCAATATATAATACTTCCATTAGCGTATGTTGATAATAATGTATGCTTTAATTGCTCTACAACTTAACCAGGTCTCCATTTGACGCATGTGGCTGGACCTGGTTTCTATTTGGGATCTGATAATGGAACTATTGTGTAATCTTTCCCCAAATACGCAATATTTACGAGACCGTCAGAGTTAGCTGAAGCTAAGAATTAAGTTGTATTATCGAAGGCGCATGAAAGCACTTTTGTTGGCTTTTAATATAATTACTGTTTATACTTCTCCTGTTACAATGTCATTCTAGAATTAGTAATTTTTTAGTGATGAGAAGGATGATTAGGCGAAAATATCCTTATATGCTGCTCTTATTCTTTCCAGTAATGTAGAATCCTCGATAACTCCAATCTCATTTGTGTCTGTAGATTACGAAACTTAAGTGGAAAAATTCCTTTGGCCTTCTTTCGAACTTTACATTAATTTATGATTCAATTGTATATTTAATATCATTTTTCTAGCCATTAACCAGAATATGAAGACATCTATTTTACATGAACCCTATGTTGTGAATATTAATAATCAATTCCCCGTGAGAATTCCTATATAATTTACTCATCCATTTTGTAAAATTAATTTATTTACTATATGATTGTTGAATGCACCAAAAATACTTCTGTGTAGATTTGTAAATCTAATGCGAATTATTCTTTAAGAAAATTTAATATCATATAAAATATCTTAAAAATTTGAATTTCGATTATATATATTAAATTTTGGCATCCAAACAAAATAAATGATTATTAATGAATTTGACAATCACAAAAAAATGATATTTTAAGAGTTGAATTTTCTATGAAATACTTTAAAAGTAATTATCATTCATTAAAATGTTAAAGGAATGTAAATCTTAATGAGAATGAATAAATTTGAGGTAATAATATTTATATAAATCAAAATATTTTAATACTTTAATATATAATATCATTAATATTTTCCATACTTAGTTTAAATATTCTTCAATAAAGTACTTTCTATTTCTTTGAGAGTTGACGAATAACTTTTCTTAGGGATATACATCAATTTCATATCACCTTCTGCCACATAACTAAATGATTCTAATGTGCCAGCTACTATGCTTTAATCTCCAAAATAATCCCCCAATTTTGTCAATTCAAATAATGTTTCTATGATATTTATAGAATTTTACAATTATTTTTATTCACACTCACTCTTCCTTATTCTAATATAAATATTTCTTAGCTTTTTTATCCTTATTACAGTATTACATCTCCTTTTTTATATTACTTTTCAAATAATGCATCACTCATTTTCAATTTATCATATGGATCTTTAATTTCTTTTAGCAAATCCCAATTTTCAAGAAAACTTGATTTATAAATATTTTAAGTACGTTTCGAATTATTGTCTCTTTTTGATAGATGCTTCTTTCACAATTAGATTGAATGTTTCTCTATCCAATTACCAAAGTATAGCTTTATCGCTTTTTACGATGATGGATGCAGCCTAATGAATTCATAGAAAAAGATACTCTTGGAGATTAAAATAATAATGCTAATTCACCAAAACTTTCTCCTGGATAGTATGTTTTAAGAAGGACATCTCCTTTGCCATAATTCTTAAAACAATCCAATTCTCCTGTGTCGACAACATAGAGTACATTTCCTTCTTCTCCCTATTTAATTACATATTCTGCTTTATGGAAGATCTTTTCTTCCATGGCACCAACAACAATTTCAATTTCCTTTTCATTTAAAGCACTAAACATGAATCCTGCTTGCATTCTTTGCTTAATTCGTTCAGATTGCTCCTTACTTTTAGGAATAAATTTGGCTTTAAAGTTCTCCTTTTTATTGAATTATCCATAAGCTTCAGCAGAGACTGAGAATCTCTAAGATTTTTAGGAATGATTACTTGTTTTTGGACATCTTTTTTGATTGCAACAATTTCATCAACTTCGTCATCAGATGAATCAGAGTTTGAACTCAAAGCGCAATCTACATGTTTTTTCTTATTAAGTTATTACATGAAATTGGGTCCATTTCTTACTTTTTAAGGATTCATAAAAATTAAATAAATAATTAACATGAAAGAATAACTCCTTGGTAAAATAGCAAGATATAGAATATTTTTGTAATAAGGATTACAGATTCCAGATGAAAATGGTGATGATTTGAGATGCATAGATTTTAATTTTGATAAATATATCGAATAGCAGTTATAGATTGAACAAGAATAAAAAGTTGAATAAGATGATTAAAAAATAGTATAAACAGATAAAAAAATACCAGAATTAGATTTCAAATTGAATGATCAAGATTTAGAAGGTTTATTAAGGGATTTAGAAAATGTTAAATTTGATGGCGAAATTGATTTCACTAAATAAAATATTAGCGATCAAGTATGTTATCATCTGATGACTTTTATTAGACTGTGATTCGATTATCAGTGTTGATTTAAAAACTTCCAATATCATCATTGATATTAAGTGATACTAAAATTTCTTATATCGGAGGATTGGAGTTAGGCAAAGCAATCCCTAATAGTAAATTAAAGAAGTTAATTCTAACGAATTGCAATTTAGGTCATAGTTCTAAGTAAGTCTATGGCTATTTCTATTAGTATTTTAATGGAACAATTGCATTTCTTGGAAGAAGTAGACTTTGGAGTGCTTGGCAATAAAGCTCTTAGATATTTGTCATAATAAAAACATGAATTATCACATATTGGATTTCAAGAGGATCCAAAAGAAGTGTGGGATGTGCAAACTAAAGAACTGTTTTTGAAATCAATACCTAATTCATTATTAAGCATTCAATTCTAAATAGATAATGCGGATCATAAGAAGTATAATTAGCAAATAATAAAGATTCATAGGAATAGCAGAAATTAAATGCTAAGAAAATAGAGATGCATATTTAAGAAAAAGAGCCATTTAATATAAGAGTAAAGATCTAGATCCTGATCATCCTGATTATTACGATTGGTATAGATGAATCCTATATTTTAGCGATGATTTTAAAGTCAATGCATTTAAATTCAGTGTGAAATCTTATTTATCTAATGTTTTCGAATCATTATTAGATGAATCCTTATATTATTTGGAGAAGGAAAGACAAAATGTGCTTAGAGATGAGGCTATTTACCATGTAACCAATGAACTTTTACCCTAATCTATAATGGAAGATATTTGTCAGGCAGATGGTTCATTAATTGTATTAGCTAAATATCTTTTGACCAAAATTAAAAAATGATATCATTAATATAAATTCATCTTATAAATATCAATTGCAAATCAAGGTTGTTAAAGTCTGTTCTATAAACAATCTGGAGATTGGTGTATCTCTAGATCCTTTAAACTTTGTCCTGATTCCTTGCTACCAACTACTTCAGAGTTTTTCCTACCTTCTTCCAATTCATTAGGTACATCTAATCTAATTTGATCTTCTAAATATTTTTGCTCATCCTCATTTTACTATTGTAGATTTGTTGTATAATTTTATTAAACAAGATTAAACAAGCTTTTATTCTACATAGCAAATTGCATTAATTAATGATTAAGCTACCAATTTTTATTCTTATTTTCAGTGATCTTTTAAAAATTATCTACTAAATCTTAAGCATTTTCTGCTCCAAGTTAAGCCTTAAAGAATCTCGTCAGTTTTGCTAATCTGACATTAATTGGAACTAGAAAGATTATCGTACATTATTACTTGTTGAAGTGGCTGCATACTTGATAATATTTTAATTATTATCTATATGAGCTTAATTTAATTGTAATTGATTTATCGATTTATTTTATTTGCTAGCAGTCAAAATATCAAATAACTCTTTCTGATCAGTCATTTAATCTTAAAACACAGGCGAACAAAATGAATTGAATAGCAAAAGTTGATCATCATCAAACAAAAATAATTTTAGGCAATCTATCTCATATAATTTTTTTAAAATATTAGTTAAATCTAAATCGAATTCAATCTTAGATTTAGCTATTTACGAAATCACCAATTCTTTTTCATCTTCAATATTTTTTTTACAGCTTTTGAAGTATTTCCTTATGATGTAAAATATGTATTAAGAAAATGAGTAATTTATTGTATAATCAAGGATCTTGATAAGATGCAAAAATTACCTGTTGTAATAGTTTTTTTGTATTCTTTACTGATGACTACATCTTCCCAGGTGTTTATGATTATTAATTAACATATGATTATTTCCTTTTTTAAACACTTTTTAAATCAAATTTAAAAACCGAATTCATCAATATTTCAAAGGTCTTATGCTGATTATAAACTCTATAAAATATTTTGACTATTTGCATAACAGCCAAAAATAAAGCAGTTGCTTCAGAAACAGCAGATAATATAATAGAGGGCATATCTTATTGTATTACAAAGTAAAAGGAAGTATCAGATGAAGCTCTAAAATTTTCATTAAGGTAATACCTGAGATAAAACGTGCATAATCCTACTCCTGAATTTATCGATATAGGTTCTTGTCTCCTTTCTTACCGTTGAACTACTGACCCATTATATAGTCTCTCGGAATTTTCAATGTTAAAAATATCGCTGAAAAATTATATTTTTTCTTAGTTATTTAAATGTATTTTACTTAAATCCATTTATAATGGTTGCATATAAATATCTTCATTGTCACCAATACCAGTTGTTAATCTCCAGAAAATATTAGTGGAGAATATATCTGCTGGACTTGAACTATTTAAGGATTGTTTAATTTTCGACCCTTTTATGAACATATCCACATTAACGCTTATGTTAATTAACATCCTTACCCTTTATTGATAAAACTTTCAATCTCTTTAGAAGTCTTACATGTTTTGCTGGTTGAGTTGTTGCATACACTTATAGTTAATTTGATGTAAGCAAAATATGGTTCGTAGAATTGTCCTTGTAATTTGAAATCACCATCAAAACAAATTAAATTTTCTTTTTATTCTTCAGTCATTGATGCTGAATTAAAATTGAATTATTGGACCTTATCTGTTGAACATTTGGATTAATTTAATGAACTGTAATTTCTTGTAAATCCTATTTTACCTTCTACTCTTTATTATTGAATATACTATGCAGTTAGTGTAAAATAACTAGAATAATCATCTTATATTTACTCTTTAACATTTGTATTATTGTTCAAAATTTTTCCATCTAGAGTAGATAATTCAATGGAAAATATCGTATTTTCATTACTCAATATAAATTAGGTGTTTTTGTCACTTTCTGTACCAGCATAGATCGTGTTCTGATTTTGAATACTTCTTTGAAATACTCCAACGATGTAAAAAGAAGTGAAAATTAAGAGGAGCATACTTATGAAACCTCCTAAAAACTAAAATTATATAAAACCTATTGGAGTTAAAGATTTCTCTTTTTATGAAATATTAAATTCATAGGGATCAACAAGCAGATCGGCTTTCTTTATTAAATTTCTAATCATATTAATAATTTCAAAAATTATCAAAATAACATTAATGCGTTGATTCATACAATTTCTGATCAACTATAGATATACACATCAAATAATATAAAATAAATAATAATTAAATAATCCTTAAATAATAATTATTGATCAATCTTGGTCATTAATTATACCATCAATATTTCCTCTATTTTATCCTCATAAATCAATAATGTCAGTATATTATTAATACTAGACTTTGGATACACTTTATATAACTGTAAAATGTAGTCTAAGATTCTTTTATTAAATTTTTATTCCCCATTATCATCTATGATATTATAAATTACTGATAATTTTTAATGATGACTTTTGACACTTAAGTTTTGAAAACAAATGTCTCAACATTATAAGTGAAAGATTAAACCTATCTTATACTTCTACTTCTTTCGAATAAACGTTTAATTTCCTTTCTTTTGGGTAGCTTTCCTAAGTATCTAAAAGGTTATTAAATTTTTATTACAATGCAAGGATTCTAGTCTTATTACACTCTTAAAAGCTCCAAATTGGAAATTTCTATTGACAGTTTAAATTTTCTTTATAATTTTAATTGTCCATTGTTCATAGAGAACTAAGTTAACTATTTTATAAATTCATAGCCTTATAGACTAATTTGCAAATTATGTAAAGGATAATTTTCATTATTATAAATATTTAATATAAAGTATATATAATAATAAAAATCTGTTTTTTATAAGAAATCACTAATATTTTTGAGGTGATTCGGTTCTTCTGAAAGGCAAATGTAAATGTATCTATTCATATATAAGGAATTAGGATGTTTTTAAGACCACTTATATATCAAATGAGAGTTTATAGATAGCAATCATAAGAGTTAGAATTTTGAAATTTAGGATGCATAATAATGAATAAATAATATTAAGGCTTTAAAGAGCAATTAAGATAAATAAGTGAATTATTTCTAGAGTTGAATATAAAATATACTAAAACTAAAATTTCATTCTTAGATCGAATCTTTGTTTTAGATAAATAGATTTGGATTTTATGTTTGAACAGGTGTGTTGAATTACTAAATTTATGGATTAAAATCCTATCTATTATTTGATGCACTATTTGAAATATAAAGGTGGTTCAAGACTTTGTAATTTTTGGGCTATCTCTTTTCTGTTTTGGATCCACTATCAAATTAGCTATTTAATATTACTTTTGTCTATTTTCATCAACAGTTCCTGCGCGTACACCAAAATTGATGTCTTGATATTATCTCACCACTTTAGCCAAATCATCAATATGTTTTCTTCTATTCTGCTCGTCATTTTTCTAATATGAAATAGTTCAGTAATATTACTTCATCATTAGCTACTTTGCCATCAAGCATTCTGATTGTCCTTGAGGAATAGTTTTTTAAATTAGTATCATGCGTAACCATTATGATGGTAATACCCTTTTCGATATTCAAATCAATGATAATCTTCATTATCAAATCTGAATTCTTTGTGTCAAGATCTCCAGTTGGCTCATCCAACAATAAGATGGATGGATTATTAGCTAATGCTCTTGCTATTGTAACTCTTTGTTATTCTAATTCTAAATATTAATTGTACCTCCTCCTGACAATTGATTTGGGTAATGATTCAATCGAGTGCCCAAACCTACTTATTCTAATAACATCCGAGCATTATTTTTAATTTCGTTTTTACTCAATGTCCCTTTGAGAATCATAGGCAATTCCACATTCTCTTATGCTGTCAATGATGATATAAGATTGAAAGTTTAGAAAACGAATCCCAAAGAAGATAATCTTAGTGAAGCAAGGAATTTATCTTCTGTAGAGGCCCTAATTCTCTGACCACAAATTCTCACATCGCCCTATTTTAGATTAGGATAATCGATATTACTTTTGTTGGTAAATCTATACTACCTAATAAATTAAGTAGAGTAGTCTTGCCACACCCAGAAGTACCTAAGATAGTTATGAATTCTCTTTCCTGCACATTAAAAGATACACCTAAGAAATTATTGATAAATATTGAACCTCTTAATGCAGTAACACCCTCTAATCCCAATAAGTAGGTTTTATGAACATTTCTAACTTCTATTATATTTTGCTCTGGTTAGAGAAGAGGGTATATTGGAATTTCACGTTTTTCATCAATTTCTTTATCTTCAATGTCGATTATCATTGTGTGAAATTTAATAAATTATTAATATTAAAAACAATCCTGACCTTTCAGTTGTGAATCAATTTTAGTTGAATTCTAAAATCCCATCGTAAAACAATACAAATAGCAATGTTTTTGAATTCAAATATTATATATGAATATCTACATATTTACTAAATAACTATTCTTATAAGAATAAGAAAATTCTCAGTAATAATTAATTAGAATTATTTTTTCTTGATATAAACATTTTAGAAAATAAATCTGTTGATTTATAAATGTCAAAAATGTTGAGAATTATTCATTATACATATAGTTTCTTGTTGCTATGGATTAAGAAATATTGGTTGTTGACAAAGAGATTTTTCACTCCTTCTTCAATCACTATCACTTATAGTAATTCTCCATTTCCACTATTAGATATTAATATATAAAGTACTAATTCTATTTAATAACTTAGCCATTAGAATTTCCACTCAATATAATGTTATTCCAAATACATTATATACATACTATTTTATTCTACTAGACACTACTATTCGTATATTATTTTATTTATTTTCCATTCTCAGCATTCAGCAATATTAAAGTATCACCACCCACTAAGACATTCTAAGTTTCCCAGGGAACTTATTATATTTTAGATATTTATTTCATTGCTTAAATAGTTCGAGTTTAATTTAATTAAAATGATTACCCCTATCTTTCTCGCTTCCATAATCTTAATCTTCCATCAACTTGAGTTGTCAACATTTAATTCTTATTGTAAAGTATTATATTGTTAATATATGATTTGTCAAATGTTTCCTACATATTCATATATAAATGTTACTTGATATTCAATTTTGTATTCATTAGGAATGCTAAGCATAATCAACTTTTTATCCTCCGTCGAAATCAACAAGGAGGAGTCCATAATCTAAACATCAATAATGTTTTTATCACTAATTTGCAGTTCTTGATATTTAAAATATGTTTATTATGATTCCTTTTTATACAATTACACCTTTCCATTTTGTAATCCAATTATTAGAGTATTGTTACATAACTTAAGTAAAGAAATAGGAGTTTCTAAATAAAAGTCTTAAATCTTCTAAGTGGTGATCGTATTCAAAATTGAGAACCCCTCTTAAGTGGAGTGGATGAATAGATTGTCATCTTATATTGAAGAATGCTCAGTCTCAACCACTATTTCATATTAGAATTGTTATTCATCCTAAAATTGATTTTCAATTGTATGAACTTTATGTTCTTGGTTATTATATGTAAGGAATCCAAACATCCATAAACCTTTGCTTCTCTTGATTTTGTAATCTCCTAGATCTGTAACACAATACTTCGATTGTAATAATATTTTAATTCCTTAAATATGTCCTTTCACTTATAACCCAAATCTAACATTTTCATCCAATAAATCCACATACCATATATCATTTTCCAATTTTAAGGTTGTTTCTTGTCTATCTAAAATTCAAGTAAATAGTTACTTTTATAATAGCATTTTGGAGCATAAGAATTCGTAGATCCTATGAGAATTAATCTTGAATGGTCAGTCTCTTATTTATATTATCTGTGTGTTGAAATATCATTATAATATAATACATGACTATTTGTTAAAACTTGCAGACATGTTTCTTATGGATTCATATATAAACTACCAAATTAGAAATAAATACATGTATTTTTTGAATATCTATATTTAATTTTTGACATAATATTTTTTTTCTTCATCTTATTCGAGTAAATAAATGATCTAATTATCCCTGGCCAATATTTAATTTTTCTAAATAAGGATTTATTACAAAGGCTCCATTGAGAGTTTCAGATGATCTAATTCTTATAAATTATAGCTGTAAATTGATAATACTCCATCTTCCCTACCAAAAAGTAAATTTTATTAATCTTAATCGTTTTAGCTTATTCTCACTTAGTTGTGGCTAATACATTATTTTTTTAATTAAAACAATACATTTATTGTGGTTATCTATAATTAATATAATGTAAAATGAGATTATCCAACAGCCACTAATTGATTAGTTTCAAAATCTTGACAATGATAACTGTCCAATTTTGCATATCCTTTTTATTTTAATGATGAATCATAAATTGCCACAAATGCACAACTTTCATAATAAACATATATATCTTTATGAATTATTTGTACTTTAATGATTAAAGCATTACTATTTTTGAAAGGCTATTGTTACATAACTTGTTAATTTGTCAATATAATATTACATTGTTGTTCCTATGAAAATGACCCTAATTAGATTGAATTGCCTTCAATAATTGCATTTTGATTTGTAAATATAATGGGCTGCTCATCACAATTGGGTAGCACATCGACAATTTGTAATTTACTAATATCAATGAATTGATTCTTCCATATCAATTTTTGTTATGTTTGGTAGCAATCTGAAGAAAATACTTTTGTAACGTTTTAATTATGTTTCTCTAAATCGTCATAAAAGTTTCGAAATTCTAAATGAGATACAATTTCATTTATGACGTATAATTGACAATCTGATTTACCACATATTCCTAAAATCCAAAATTAAGGGAAGGTTAAGAGATCGATATCAGGTTATTTGATGGTAATTACTTCTTCTGATAAGAGGACCTTCAATAGCAGTTCTTGGAATTTCTAATTCTCTATGATAATGTATAATAGTTAAGGGTGATCACTGGAAATTTCAAAAAAGCATATGTTTGAATGATTTAATTGTTTTCGAATTCTTTAATCATTTTAATAAATTTCAATATTGTTATCAGAGATGATTGACAAAATATTAGTTTTCTTAATTAGTTTAAATGTATTTCTAGAGCTTTTTAAATCAACCTCTTCATTTACTCCATAAGTCATGTCAAGTGTATAAAATTCTTCATGTTCTACTTTAATAGTTCCTTTGTTTAAGTAATTGAATAACAATTTAGCATGACCTTAGCTGTTTGTAGTGCAAGTGATTATTTTATTAGAAATAGAATCAGTGATAATAATTTTGGCCTTTCCAATAATTTACTCTGAAAAATAGTCAAATACGTACATTTAACCAACTTCAAGAAGGGATAGTATTTTTAAATTGACCTATTATGGTGGTTTAATAGTCTTCTTTTTTTTGGATATGAAACTTGAGTTAATTAAGGTTTGATTAGTATTTTAATTAAGAAGAGTGGAGATTTCGGTGCATCTTGTTGTAATTTGGATTTTAACGGTATTGTTCCCGCCACTTAACTCTACAAATTGTTAAACAGATTCAAAGCCATATTTGCTTACTACAAGTGTGTATCTGCCTGGATCAAGAGAGCCTTCATAAATTCCTGAACAATCAGAGATTTCCTTAAGTAGCATCCTCTCCTAATTCTGAATGATATGCACTTGAGTATCTGTAAAAGGAACCATAACATCTGTTTATTGTTGTGGTCCTACTACTTCTACTCTTAATAATGCTAATTTAGGTTTTGACAGTTTTATTTGATGGTATGCTCCATCTGTTCTTACTAGTTCTTATAAGGTGACTACTTCATTGAATAGTTGATTATTAGTGGATTCTTGAATAGAGATTTCGTATCTGTCTATTGGAAGATTCAAGAATAAGACTCTGCCTTACGAATCAGATTTCTCACTATATCTTACAATATTGCTTTATTGGGATAAGGCTCGTTGTCTATGAAGTGAAGTTGATTTGCATGATCTATTTTCTGAGAGTCTGCTTTGAGGACGCAAATGTTAACTTGATGCAAGTTGTTTATTTTGGATTGATTGCATAGTTACATTAATCCCTTTTAGGTTTGCATCGCCATCATTATAGACTAATTAAATTAGTAGATTAGTTTTTTTGAATTGTTAATGAATGGCTTTAAGAATATCATTGACATTGGGCCAAGATTTGGATTGTAACTTGCTAAATAATTATGATTGTTAGCCATTGGCTTAAAATTAGACTTCAAAAGCTCCTATGCGTCTCTGAAGGAAGAGTGAAGTGATAGTTTTGTCATTATCAAAAACTAAAGGTTTCAGATACACTTTAATATCTGGATAGTTGAGTAAGATTGATTGTTTAATGAGTAATGCATAGGATAAGTATTGTTCTTCATTATGTCGAGTCGATCTCTAATGCTCTTTGCAATTGGTGCTATTGAAATATCAGATTATAGTTACCAATATTCTATCGTAACAACCATTTCATCTGATTTATCTTAAAATTCAATAAAAGGTCTCCAGTTAGCTTATTTGGTTATCATTTCCTTTACCGAAATATTGCGTTGTTCTAGATCTTAGAAATTTTTGAGCTTTGTGCAATTAGTTCTAACCTCGCTCAATCCAATGTCACTATATACAATCTATTTCGAGTCGCTAGTTAGTAGATGTTTCATACTTTAATCCACAAGGTAGAAATGGTGTTGAATGTAATTTGGAGTCATAATGGTTATCTATATACCTAGAATTACTCCATGTCCGTTTGCTTCTTGATCGAATACTGTAAGTTGATAAATTCATTATTATTAAAAATATATATAGTATCAATCACTCATGTAGTCATCCTATTATTATTATTAATATAATGAGATGATCCTATTCTTAAGATTCTAAGGACAGTTCACTAATGTCTGATCACTACTAATCCTATATAGCATCTACTCTCATATAGATATAATAGTTTCTAATTCTTGAGACAATCCCTACTAATGTGGTTACTCTCTAAATAAAACAATTAGTAAATTTCAATGAACAAACTCTAGGTAATTAGCAATCTTTTGAGTGTGTGTTTCTATGAACCACAATCATAACAAATAACATTGTTAGTTTTTTATTGAAGATTCTAAAATTCTAATTAATTTTGTATAGTTTTAAACAGTAGGTTCAATCTTCTTGCATACAACAGTAATCTTACTCTTTCATTTATATTTTCTTCTTTTTTTTCTACATCTCTTCAATTGTTGTTTTTACACTATTAGAACTAGAAGTTATAAACTCTCTCTTAATATAAATCATCTATCATATGCGAAATTCGAACATGAACTTCGTTCTAATATTTAATTCTATGAATCTATATATTAAGACTTAATTATTTAGATTTAATAGGTGAATTATTGGCGATTTAATATTTCATATAAAAATTAATAACCACACAATTATTATCATTTATTTGGTACACGATATTCCTCACCCAAATGTTCTGGTGGTTGCAAAGGTATGTTCAAACTATAAAATAGACAAAGTTTTCATACACATTAGATTAATCCAATTTCTATCCCTTTTCCAAGAAGTACTCTCTAGTATATTTATAAACTGCTGGTTCTGTCTTGCATTGATAATTCTTAGAATAGTCAGCATAGAACTCTGGTTGGCCATACTTTTTCAAGACTCTTTCTTCAAAAGAAGGTAGTTTAGAGCAGCGTTCAATCTAATATAGATGAGAGGATATTATTACTTCTTATTGAATCCATTCTTTAAACTTCCTGAAGTCTCCATATCTAGTACAATTTACTCGAAATGGAGCTTTCTCTTCTTGAGTCCAGAATTCTTCAAATGTAGGCCACCTCTACTTTCTGTAGATGGGTTTCAAATACTACTGTTTATTATAAAATTATTCTGTTCTATTGGGTCCCCAATACTTCGTGGTTTATTTTGCATCATACCTTGAAATATTAATTTAGGAATCAATACAAGCAAAACTTATCTAGATTGGAATCTTCAAAGTCAAATTCTTTGGTAGCTAATTTGTTTCTCCATGGGTCCATCCCCATACCAAAGGCATGAATCAATCCTTTTGGTGATAAATATATTTTGCACACCACGATTTCTGAATATTCGTCTGGTTTATAATATGGATCATGAAATGTAGTCCAAACATAATAATCAGTCAATGATAAATCAAATCTATTTAAAATAGCTCTCGTTTTACTTGGGACGATCATAAATAGCAACACGCTTTTATTTAGGCTAGATCACTTAGACTTCTTTCTCCTTTTCTGCCTTCACTAACTTGGTGTATTTTAGATAAGTTTCAAAATTGTAATTGGTAGTATGAGTAAACCTCTCCTATTTAATATTTTCATCTAATAATCCACTTTATTCAAGTTGTTATTATTTTTCTTTGATTGCTATTTGGAGTGCTCTCTTCTTTTGATTCACATTCTTTGGAGCTACAGGTTTTACAAATCTGCTGAAGATTTGACCCATGCAAAATCGAGGCAGATATAATTACATATTTTAATTTTTTAATTTTTAATTCTCATCAAAACTCTAATTTATCAACTACATCACTCTAATAAGGAATTGTGACTTTTAATAGTGGTTCTATTTCCATTTATCTCTTTATATTGAATTATGCATTCTGGTTACCACACCAAGATCTTCTGGCAACCCCATTATTGACATCCCATTACAACATCATCTTCGCTCTTCTTTATGCATCATCTAAAACCTTCAATGAATTTAATTACCTGAACCATCTAACACTAATCCAAATCCACCATTAATGACTTCTCCCCAACCTACTCCTCCACCATTGTGTAATGCTACCCAAGTTGCTCCTCTAAATGAATCACCAATCACATTCTGTACTGCCATATCTGCTGTAAATTAAGATCCATCATAAATATCAGCAGTTTCTCTGAAAGGACTGTCAGTTCCAGAAACATCATGATGATCTCTTGATAATACTATAGGTCCTGATATTTCTCCTCTTTTTACAGCCTCATTGAATCTGAGTGCAATTTCAGTTCTTGCCTAAGTATCAGCATAAAGTATTCTTGCTTGTGATCCAATAACTAATTTATTTTCCTCAGCCTTTCTAATCCAATCCAAATTATCATTTAATTAATCTGCTACAATCTTCGGAGATTTAGGAATTAGATCAACTAATACTGATTCAGCTATTTTATCTGTCTATCTCAGATCTTCCGAATGACCACTTGTACATATCCATCTGAAAGGCCCAAAACCAAGACTGAAGATATCTCCCATAATATCCTAAAAATAACTAGGATAACGGAAAAGTTAATCATCATTTTCTGAGTTTACATTAGCACCAGCTCTTCTACTTTCTAATAAAAAACGATTTCCATAATCCCAAAAATGCATACCCTTTTTTGTCAATTTATTAATTGCATCTACTTATCTTATAAGGGATTCATAAACTAACTTCTTAAATTATTCTGGATCCTTAGCCATCATTATGTTGGCTTCTTCAAATGATAATTAAACAGGATAATATCCTCCATTAAATGGATTATGCAATGATGTTTGATCAGATCCTAAATCAACTAAATTTTTCTCCTCCTATGCCAACCTTTCCCATAATAAGACAATGTTGCCTAGATATCCAATCGATTCTGCTCTCTTTTCTTTTTTAGCCAACTTGACTTCTGCAATGACTTATTCAACATCTGTAATCTTCTTTTTAACCCAACCTTGCTTTAACCTTTTATCTAAGGCCTTTTCTGAAACTTCTGCAATTACTGAAATACATCCCAAAATATCACCAGCCTTGGGTTAAGCTCCACTCATTCCACCCAATCCGGAAGAGACAAAGACGACGCCATTTAATGAATCAGTTTTTAGATATTTCCTGGCTGCATTCAATAAAGTCAAAGTAGTTCCATGCACAATACCTTGACTTCCTATATAACAATAGCTTCCTGCTGTCATTTGTCCATACATTGTATTACCCAATGCATAATGTTTTTCATAGTGCGATTAAGTAGAATAATTAGGAATCATCATACCATTACTCAAAACAATTCTTGGAGCATCAGGATGACTAGGAAACAATCCTTATGGATGACCACTATTCATTACTAAAGTTTGATGCTCAGTCATTTCACTTAGATATTTCATTGTTAAGTGATACTAAGCCCAATTCTAAAACACACTACCATTACCACCATAAGTAATTAATTCATGTGGAAACTGAGCTACTTCATGATTGAGATTATTCATAATCATATGCATGATAACTTAAGCTTATTTAGACTTGCAAGGATATCTAAACATTACCTAGATTCATACTTATCATATGGATAGGCTTTCATCTCATAATCTGGAATCAATCTATACATGTAGATGTGTCCATATGTTAGTAATTCTTATAAAAACTCAGGTGCTAATCTCTCATGAAGATCTGAGTTAAAGTATCTCAATGCATTCTTCAATGCCAATCTTTGTTCCTACTCTCTCACAAAGGATTTACTTATTTATTTAAGCAGAGATTCTTGCAGGGAGCATGAGGGATTGATTAATCTCTGAGATAGACCTTCTTGTTAAAATCGACTTAAATTCCTTTGTTTAAGTTTTCCAAAAATGCGTAATCGATTTACATCTTTAATAATATTTATGATTTATTCTTATTTTATATTCACTCCTTAAGCATGCTTCCACCATATGAAAAATCGTAATAAATTCTACCCTCTGAACTTGCAGTATCAAATGAAGCTATGGTACATTCTGTGAATTCCTATTTTATAGAATTTCTGAATTGATTACTGAATCAAAATGAGATGTGTCCTCCTCGCTAGTTAACTTTGGTTTAAATGGCGCTTCCACTCTCTTTTACAATATGTAATCCCAGTTCACCTTCTCAAACCAAGGATGTGATTTTATATCGCCTGCTCCATTGTACCCCAATCGTTCTAAATGTTTCTACTATTTTTATACTTTCTGGCTGCTTCTAGAACAAACCCTCTAATAAATTTTTCAGAATTGGACTCAAATTTTGTGGGTATTTTGGAAATTAATACTTTATCTATTCGAACAACTCTCCCCTCTGATTTGAATAATAAGGGGGCATTCCTGTTATCATCTCGAAGATGATGCAACCCAATGTCCACCAGTCTACAGGCTTGCCATGTCCTTACTTCATCAATATCTCTGGAGCCAAGTATTCAGGGGTTCCACATACTGAAAATGCATCCTTGTCTTATTTGACATTCTTTTTCGACAATCCGAAATCTGTAATCCTTATATAGCCATCTGCATCCAATATCACATTCTCAGGCTTTAGACTACACTTTAACATTCATCACTTACTCTCGATATATAATATTATTCTCATGCAAGTATTCGATAGCCAAAATCATTTAACAGACGTAGAATCGGCATCTTTAAATAATATTAATGTTCTTACTAGTCTTCAGTCAATTTCTTCTTCTTCTATAATAAATTGAATAACTCTCCACCTGGACAATATTCTAACACAAAGTACAGTTTTCTCTCATTTTAAAATGAAAATGCCAATTTAATAATAAATTGATGATTTGCCGAAACCAGAACATTTCGCTCCACCATTATGTGTTCCTATATAATTTAATCTAATCCCATACCTCCTGTCTCTTCTGTTGAATGTACTTCTTCTTTAAAGCCTTGATTGCATAGAGCTTCCCTGTGTCATTCTTTCTCACCAAAAGCACTTTTGCATAGGAGCCCTTTCCTATTACTTTTATCAATTAAAAATGATTTATTGTTAAATGACTTGATTATTCCTACTACATTGCCTAATTTAATATTATTTATTACTTTTCAATAGTTTATAAACAAAATTAAGATTTAAAATTTTCTTTATTTTTTATCAACTCCTCAAAAAGTGCATAATATTAAATTAATAATGTGCAAATTATACAATTGTCTTAAATATCTATCTCTCAAGACCGCGACTTCACTTTTACAATTACTCATTATCAGTATAGTTATGGGACTTTGCTCAATTGTTCTTGTCGTAAATCGCATTATGATGGATGCATTAATCTCTGAAATTTCGGATAAATTGCTGTTTAAATAAAACTTTTAATAGTATGAGCTCTAAACAGAAATGTTAAAATATTAAGTAAATTTGCCCATGATTCAAAGATTTTAAATGATGAACAGCTTCGGCAAAATATACCAAAATTTTATGCCCTAGGTACAAATTTAAAACTTTAATTATCCTATGGAATGTCCTTTATATGAAGGTCAACATCACGAATAATATAGAACACTATTTTCTCTGCCTGAATTTTGCATTTCATATCACAATTAAACCAAAAATATTGATAATGGACAAATTAATCCTTTCTTGAACATTCTCAATTAACTCATTATCCCCTTTACATTTGCTCCTATAACAGAACTTTATATGACAAACACAGATGAGAATTATTTTTTTGCCTCTAATCCCCCCATTTTTAACTACCCATCATACAACCCCTAAGTTAGACCTTGGTACTTAAATCATTTGGAAAAATCTCAAACGTCAAATAGCTAAGGTTTTGTCTCCTATGTCTATAAATCTTATGGCAATGAGCAATACAGTTTCACAATTACATATTCTTTATTTGAAAGCAATCCATCAAAAAAAAATAAGAGAGGAAATTTATAGGCAATTATGGGTTAGGATTTGAGTTTCTAGGAATATTCAGACCATCTTTATTTCAAGTAATTTACTTTTTTAATAACAAACCTACTTGGCTAAATTATATGTACAAATTCCATTGAAGATATAAGACTTGATTAAGGAATAATTTATGTATATCAGTAAAACCTAACTGGTTTCACAACATAGGATTGGTAATAGATTTAATTGTATGCCTCATAATAATCATACACTAATAATTGTACATTATAAATTAAACATCTATGTAGATTTAATACAAAATACAAAGAGGATATTATATTACATGTATTGAATCTAAAATCCGATTTTTATCTGATCATGTATTAACCTTATATTTATAATAGATTTTAAAATGTAACAATTCAGAGGGAAAATATAGAAATGGCTGAAAATACAAAATTAGAAGTCATAAAAGCATTTGCAAGAAATATCTCTTATTTGTTAGGGGCATCTTTATCCCTTCTATTATGTAGTTGGATAGGATTGTACCTGTTTTTTAGGCCAATTAAATAGATGAGAGAAAAAATGGAAATTTTAATTCGTAATAAATTCTCCAGTCATAACTGGATGTAAAAAATATAAAACGAATTTGATGATAAGAATACTAATTATCTTAAATAAGCTTTAAAGAATTTGAAAACAAAAATTACAAATATTAAAAGGAAGAAATGCTAAAACTGCTATTTAATAGAGAATTTTAAATATCCTAGAAAGATTTTAACAGTTGAGTTTTACGACATTAAAAATCTAATTAAAAAACTCCCCTAAGATTAGGTAGTAGAAGATTAAGTACGCTAAACTGAAATTAAAATTGATAACATCGATTCTCCAGAACATAAAAATATCATCCCCTAAATTATTACAAACAAGTTGTATTCTTAAACTTTGAATAGTGAAATAGACGAAAATGTTTAATTACTCAATAGTATGGATAGAGTATTCTGAAACATAGTTATAAAGAACAGTTTTTGATTATTTTATATATTTATTATCATTCTGCATTTTGAATTACATTGAGAATAATAATAAAAATAATGAAATATAAGATTTCAACCTTAATTCTAAGTTACTCTCATCATCATGGATTTGAACTCCTCAAATGTTAACTACAATAATAGCAGAATATTACTTTCCCATCAGAATTCTAATCTACTTCCTAGATCATTTATTTCCAAACCTCCTCACTAATACCAGAATTTTGACCAAATGCTAATTTAATTTCATCCTTTGTAATAGCTCCACTCTTATCCTTGTCTATTATTTTAAATGCTTAAAGCAATCTTTCTGTAGCCAATAGTTTTTCTCTATTAATAGTGGCATATACAAATTCTATGACTTAAATTAATTTTTCTACCTGAATAATCAATTGAACCACTTCCATCAGCATCTATCTTTTTCATAATTTCATCTACCTGAGCCTCCGCATCTATATCACTCATAACCTTTTTGTATCCATTGACTAATTCTTCTCTACTTAATCTTCCATCATTATTTGTATCTAAAGCCTAGAATTACTTTAATAAGTCCTTTTTCTCCTCCTTAGTAGCTATAAAATTGACCATGAACATAAGTGCTGCTTCTTACAGTTTTTTTTCAACCTAGATTAAAATAAAGTTGTGTTTACTCTGAAGGCTTTGATTCTTTACAAAGCTTCAGTAAGAGATGGAAGATCGTCTTCTTTCTTTTAACAATATGTTTGGATCCAAGGATGATTCATGGCATCCTATGCTGAAATTCTCTTTTTGGTATCTTTCTCTATCATTTTCATCACAAGATCCTTAGCCTCATTTGATATTTTCTTCCATTCCTACTCCTTAAATTTAAAGACTCCTTTTCTCACAGCCTCCATAATTTAATAATCATCATCACCATTAAATGGAGGAGCTTACATAAAAATATATATTACCTCCACACAACATAATATAGAGAATAACACCACATGACCAAATATCACATTTTTCATTGTATTTCCTATCGAGTACTTCTGGAGCTATATAATAAGGGGTTCCAACTCTTTGATCCATTTTCTTATCAGGATTGAACTTTTAACTAGTTCCAAAGTCAGCTATTTTTATAAGGGAATCTGCATTATTGCTTTCATAAAGGATGTTCTCAGGCTTCAAATCTCTATGAACAATATTTTTTTCATGGCAATATGTTACAGCACTTAACACCTATTTCATAACTTCTGCAGCTTTTTTTTCTGAAAAGTTTTTCTCTTAAACAATTCGATCAAATAATTCACCTCCTTAACATAATTCTGTTACTATATAGAAATATTCAGAGTCTTAATAAAACTCATAAATTGAAATAATATTCAAATGATCCTAATATTATCAATATATTTCATACCAATTATTTTAAAATATCGACTTCTCTTGTTAACATTAAGCAATCTTCCTCAGTCATCAGTTTCTTCCTTATTAATTTTATTGCTCTAACTTAATTTGTAACCTTATGTACTCCTCTATAAACTTCACCAAAAGCACCTTGGATTTAATTATTCAAAAAGAATACCTTTTCCAAGGCATGGTTAAATTAAATTATAGTCCGCAGTGATTTTCCCTTTTTTCTCAGTAACGAATCCCTGATATGCAAATTTGGTATCCTCTATCTTAGTAACTTAATAATAGATGATTATTGTCCTTACCTTTGTTTGAAGGTTCTTAAATACCATTAGATGATCCACAACCCATTAGTTTAAGAAAATAAGTTATCTAAATTAAATATTAAATAAAATAGATATTTATTTTTTTTGTATATATTTTAAATCTATATCATTCAATCTATATTAAAATTTTATAGCAATTCAATATCATTAGCAACATTAACTACCTATCTGCACTCTAAGTTTAACCAAGTAGTGAGGATTTTTTAAATTATAGAATAATGTTTGTTTCGTAAAATCATATTCAAAATTCTAAATAAAATATGTAAAAATTAATGAACTATTGAATTTATTTTATATTTTGATTCAAACCTCTTTAAAATATTACAAAAAATTTTTGTAATACTTCTTGCTTGTAACAACAAAAATATTTCAATTATCTAGCAAATTGTTAATAATAGATATATTAAGGTTTCCAAAAAATAAAGCATTAACATCCTTAATAAATAAAGGTCATATTTTATTCCTATTCTTCTTTAAAGTTTCAACCCTAGACAGAAAGTTAAACTAACCTAACAATAGAACTTTTTTGACAAAAAGTTAAATTAGAGTTTGGAAATTATATCGTTTGAATTAAAAAGGTAGTATAATTACGATAAGAAAAACCATTTCAGTTTAAATTTTATTGCCCTAAGATAAATTAAAACAACCATTATGAAAATTTAAAATATTCTCAATTGCACAATAGATTCTTTGTATTGTTTCAATTTTCCTAACTAACACTAACTTAAATATTATAATAGAAAATTTGGCACATCCTAGAAAATTATTTTCTCATATTAATTAAAATTAAAATATCCTTAAAAAGTCTACACAATCAAATATTAGGCTGTTAATTATAATAATGATAGATAATAAAATATGATTAAACACCCTAATAAGGTTATAAATAAATAAAAATAATAAGGAATTTTAAAGATTCTGGTAGTAGTGATGAGATGATAAATAGAAAAGTAGTTCAGAATTCGAATGATAAGATATATTTTAATGAATAAATTTAGTATTGAATAATTGAATATAAATTAATAAATGAATTAAACTCAAAAGTCATTTGATGTTTCTAAAGGCGGCGAGAAACTGTCAGATATTGAGTCGCTAAAAAGAAGAACATATAAAAAGATCTTAATGTATTACTTATGATAATTATTAGGATGTCTTCAATGAACAAAAACATTATGAAATACATCTAGAAAGCTTTTCAATTGGGTCCGAAATATTTGACTATTGAATGCCTTGTTGAAGAGGTTAAGACTACTCCACTCACTGAGTTGGACCGTTATGGTGCTACTATACTAGACAAAGATAGATTAAAAGAGCTTTAAGAATTGTTAGGGAAAATAAAATAGATGGTTGATTAAGATGTAAAATAACTGAGTAGTGATCAATTAGTGGTATTAAATAGTTGTTAAGAATAGTAATTAATCAAATATTTTGTTTTATCTCCAGTTGAGAAAACGTATATTCAAAAAATAGAAGCTGAATTAGCAGAAACTGTAAATATTAGAAATAATATTTGTATAGAAAAATTTGGATGAATAAATCAAAGCAGCTTAAACTAGATAAAAAGAACAATAGGATTTAAAAATTGAGGAATATCGTTAAGAAAAAAATGGATAATAAATAATTAAATAAAACTTATCATCATAACAGCATCAGATTTCAGTTCATGAAAATAAGTTAGAGAAAGCTAATCAAAAGTTGAATGAGATTGTTGCTCATAATAAATAATTGAGAGAGAAAATCAATTAATTGAGAAAAGAAAAGAATATGGTTGAGGAGTAAAAATATATAATATTATTTATAGAATATCAAAAAATTTAGAAAAAGAATTAGAAGATAAGAAGAAGAACGTAGAGGAAACCATTAAATCTGCAGGATAAGCATATTATTATAGAAATAAAGCAGAAGAAGAACTAACTAAATTACAAAAGAAGGCAGAAGCATAAAAAAAGGAATTTGAACAAGAATGTGAATCTTTAAATGAGAAAATATAACATGACAAGAAATTTAAAGCATTTATTTAAAGCAAAAAGAAGGAATAAGAATATTTAGATAAACTTGAAAAATAAATTGCAGAAAATTAAGAAATTATTAGATAAAAATCAGCATCTAATGCTTAAATTGATAAAGAATATATGTTGAGTGCTTCTAAAGAATAAGAGATTAAGGATGCATTTGAAAGGATTAAATAAGAAACAGGCATTCATGATAAAAAAAAGGAAAGAGAAAGTAAATAATTATTGACAGTCTTCATCGAATTGTATTAAAACAATCAAATCATGTCATAATTTGTCAAAGAATTATAAGAAACTGTTGAAGAACTAGAAAGATAAATTGAAGAAAAGAAAGAAGAAATATAGATGTATTCAACAAAAGGAGCTACAAATGATAATTAAAGAAGGGAATAAAAGATGGCATTGTCAAATAAAATTTAATAAGAAGAGAAAAAGAAGGTTATTCTAAAAGCACAATATGAAAAATCTATTGAAACAATAAATTTAATTAAGAAATATTTGGAAGAAGTTTTCTAAGCCATTGATGTTGATGATGAAACAATAAAAAAACTAAGTAAATATTCTTCATTTATTTTAGAATCTGCGGCCATTACAGAAGAAAATATGGTACATTTCTTAGGAATATTGGAATAAAAAGGATTAGATGCAATATAAGAATATGCGCGATTGATTGCAGAACAGTTGAAATTAGAAAAAGGAGAAGTACATGGATTATCATCTTAAGTTGATGATCTTAACAATATCATTGCTTATGAAAATGCTAATATTATGAATTATTATTCACAAGCTTCACAATTTAGATAAGAATGTCCAGATGATGTGCTTTCATTTAATGAAGAAGAAAATGATATGAAGTAAAGATGGTTTTAAGAAGAAGAATTTAAAAAGTAAGCAATGGAGGTATAATATTCATGTTAACAAGTCAATCTCCAAAAGATCTGGACCAAAAAAACCAATTAAACCCAAGTTTAAGGAAAGAGAATAAAAATAATGAGGTTAATAAAATACTCAATATAATTTATTGTATAAATAAACATAACGAATTGGGACTTATCATAATCACTTAAACAATATATTTGTATTTTCTCCTAGTAGAATTTTTTTGTATGTATTTTTACAATACCTCGTAATTAAACTACAAAAATAAAAAATATATATATTAATTAGAATGATCTAATAGAATCGTTACGAAATCATTATTAAACCTCAAGAAATACGATTTGAAGTAGAGCTCGATGTGACTGTAAAAGTAAAGGATGTTTTCGAAGAGTTCAAAAATTTGCCTAAGTAATGATAAATTAAAAATGAAAGTGTTTAAGGAGTAGATGTTAACAATTGGACTTGCTTTTCTGTTTAAAGAAAAAAGTATCTTTAAATTGATGAAGAGATTGGAAATTTTTAAAGGGAAATTTTAGAAATTAATACTTAACCCTAGCAACTATAGTAATCTTAGTCACCTCAAGTAATAGAAAATATTAATGTAAAAATTGTGATCAAAGATGGAGCTATCGATAGAATGTTGGATGCTGTCTTCAAAACCAATAATACTTTAGATGATGTAGCTAATACTGTTTAATAGTATTGTGCACTTGAAATAGATAAGTAGATTGTAATTATTAATTTAGTAAGACAACAGCTATTGATATATTTATTTTTGGGTAACCCTATAACGATAAAGTTAAAAGAGGAAAGCCAATGTCAGATTTATAACTCAAAGACAATTTAACTATAGACGCCAAAATTAGATGGATAGGAGGTTGAATAATGTCATAAGTTTCTAAAATAATACAATATATACATTCTTTTAATATTGTAAATTTCTTTTTATTCTTATAATTGTTTAGATTTCAAGATCTCATCAATGAAGATGTAATTAAAAGTCATTAAAATTATTTTCTATCAGATAAATTAATTATGTATGTTTGATTAGAAACTTAATTTGGAACTTTAATCGATTTAAAGAACTATTATGCTATTATTTGTATTCAGAATGATCTTAGTTTGCTAGAACTTAATATTTTCTAATGGCATAATTTAAGATAATAATAATCTTCTTCAAATAATTTATTATATTTAATCAAATTTTTATGTTTTTATAATTTAGGAATGATATTAATATGCATACTTATAAGATGAAAATCAAATTGTGATACGATTTAAGAATATATAATAATATTGATTAATTGAGAATCTCACAAAAGAATGAGCATAACTAAATTTTTCGATATAATCAAATTAATGAAGAATGAAATTTCAATTGAGAAATATATGAATCTTTGATCCCCTTCTTGAAGTAATTAAAACTGTGAAATTATTAAGAGATATTTAAAATAATGAATTGGCGCATTTTTTTGTATTTAAATAGAGAATTTATTTGCGGGAAATGATAAAATAATAATCATGTTCACAAATCTTAGATCCACTGATAACACAATTAGATAATAAGCAGAATAAGAATTATACGCTTAGGTTGCAGCAAATCCAATTGCCATCCTTGAATAATTTTTGATAGCAATGTAAAACAAAGATGACACAGAATTTGTATCCATATTGTTATCCAAAACAATTTTTGAAAATGAAGAGAATATTGGCAAGTTGGAATGGAGTCATGTCTAATTTGTATTAAAGTTCTGTGTTAGCGAGCTAAAATAAGATAATAAGTTGTCTCATCTTAAGAGAATGTGTGATTTGGCGGTAAAAGGATTACTAAAGTTCACAAAATATGATGAAATGATTATGTTACTCTTTGAAATAGGCGGAAGTGCTTAAACTTTAAATTAGAAGTTAGCAACAATGTATTACATTGAAATCATGTGTGAATTTGCATTATGTGATGAATAATTAATTAAACACAGTTAATAATTGAATGAAATATTTACAGCATATTTGAATGACTAATCTCCTCAAGTAAGAGCAGCAACTTGTTAGGGAATCAGTAGTTTCTTAGTTTCCATAGAGGAAGAATCATTATTGAATAGATTCAGTAATAATGCTGTAGTTTTATTATAATAATTTGCATAAGTGATGTAAGTTGATCAAGAAGCATCAGTTCAAGCCTTACAATCAATAAATGAATTATTAGAAAATCATCCTAAATTTATGAAGAATGTATATGGAGATTTATTAAACATCTATACTTAATTGATGTAATCACAAACTACTATATCATTGAAAAAGTCAGCCCTTCATGGTCTTTAAACATTATGTTAAATTGCCCCAGCCTTTATTAGAAAGAGCGATTAATTTAAGACTTCCTCTATTCTGATGATAATGAAAATGTTAACAGAAGTAGATAGAAAGGATTGGGAAAATACCTTTGATGATAATTGTTTATAATTGAATGATTTATCAAGTGTTGCTGAAGATTGTCTAGGTAAAATGGTTCGAGATGTGGGAGTGAAATATTTGTTACCAATATTTGTTCCACTCATAATGTAAGCATTAAGATCCCCAGTTATTAATGAATAACATGCTGGTTTGATTGCTATGGCAACATTATCAGATAAGGCAGCAGAACATTTCTAGAATGAATTACCTAGCATAATGGATTTGATATTGCCATTATCTCAATCATAAAACAAATTGATAGTTTATGATTTATTGACATGTTTAGCAGCACTCTGTTAGGAATTCACACCAAAGATCTAAATTAATTATGGATCATAGATTCTATAATTGATAGTGACATGCATGTAATAAAAGATCTCATAGAAAATCCAATATATTTCTATAGCTTGTTTAGTAGATTTTACAAGGGAATTAGTAGAAGATAAAGAGGCAGCAAAGAATGTATTGACTCCAGTATCAACCTTTTTGATTGAATAATTATACTCAGTCATTCAAACTAATTTGACAGGTTCAATAGATCAATAATAATAATAAATATTAGAATAAGCACTCTCTGCATTCAGTGCATTGGCTACTAGTTTATAAGAACATTTCACTTAATATTATGATTAGATGATGCCCTACATGATGTAAATGATGTAGACAGTCACAATAAATGAAGTTAAATCACTATTGTTAGAATGCATTGGTTGTTTCTTAGTTTCAATTAGTACAACAAGAAAGGAATAATGCAAGACTGATTCTAATTAATTGGTCACACATTTCATCTAATTATAGAACAAAATGGAATCAGATGATCCTGCTCATACATCCATCTTCTTCTTCTACACTTAAGTAGCCACAGCATTAAGATGTGAATTTGGTTAATACTTAGAAGCTATCTTCCCATTGGTTGAAAGAGCAATGAGATTGGATGTTGGATTCTCAGTCAATTCATAGGCTGAAGGCAAGAACATCACTAAAGTCAAGTTGGATCTCAAATTCTTGGGAGTTAAAAGCTTATCACTTAATACCAGTGCTCTAGAATAAAAAGTAGAAGGAGCTCACACTCTTGTTAACTTAGCAGAGTAATGTGGCAAATCCTTCTATCCATACATCACCAAAACTATAGTATTAATGAAAGAATTCATTAATTATAAGCACAGCTCATAGATCTAAAAGTCTATGGCTAAATGCGCTGAATATTTGTTAGCTGCATGCACACTTGAAACAGATATGGCATAAGTACTTATTTAAGTTACTCCTATACTCATTACTGAATTCACTGTATTCCTCAACAGCAAAACCTACGATAGAGCTGCAGAAATCGCAGAAGTATTGGCTAATTGCTTGAATTAAGTTAAAGCCCCTATTTTGGATGCTACTACTATTGATTCAATGTATTCAACTTCTAACAAGGCTCTTACAGCAATAGTGAAGACTAAAGAGTCGATTACTTATGAAGATGAGGAGTAATTTGAAGCTGACTGTGAGGAAATTGATTAATTACTTGATCACATTACAAATATTGTAACTGAATTGATTTCTAATCATAAATGCGAATCTGTATAAACTATGATGCCAACCTATTACTCATTTTTAAATACTAAATCAACCAAATCATAGACTATTAACTCTATTGCATTTTTCAATATTGTTTTACCTCTTTGCAATGAATCAGTATTCTAATAAGCACAAAATGAAATATTGAAATGCTATTCCTCTTTTGCTAAAAACAGCTGATCTAGAAATGAAACAAAACCTATTATTTGGTTATGGTAATATTGCAAAAAAGACTTCCCTCTCTTGATACAACTCAAGTTATCGAATTAGCTTCAACAATCATTGAATAACCTGATTGCAAACATGTTGATAAAGTAGCATCGTATGAAACTGCCTTGACAACCTTAGGAAAGGTAGCCATGTATTGCAATGTTGCTTAAAAAGAATAACTCTTAAATAAATTCTTAGATTCCCTTCCACATGAATACCAAGATAATCAAGAAACTCATTTAATGTTTATTAAAGAAGTAATTTTATATACTAATATAAATAGGTTTAAAATAACAATCCAACCTTGATGTAATTCAAAGATTTAGTGATCCAAGCTTTGAATAGAATTAAAACTTAAGATTGCAACAATCCTGAAAATGAATTGTTGTGCGATGAAGGAAGAAAATTGATTTCATAATTATTATGTTGAATTTTATAAGTTATATAAATACAAATTTATTATTTTATAATCAATTAAATTTTTATTTTAATTTTTTGGTTACTAATTTTTAAAATGATTTTATATCTAAAGAACTCTAAAATTATTAGGCATTGAATTAATTCTTTTTTTAAAACAATGCCAAGATGTAATCCCCTATTCACAGAAAGAGTATTCATTATGATATATTTAGTTTGATTAAATTTTAGCCTCGATGGTAGAGGCAGTAGGAGAAGCTCGTTGGGCAGATATCGCTAGACAAATGAAATAGATTTATGAATTCGACATTCCCCAATAAACAATGATCTATGCCAGATGGAAAGCAATAGATCCAAAAATTAATAGAGATCCTTTCAACCAAGAAGAAATGGCTTAACATTGGAGAATGTGTGTCAAATATAGTTGCAATTGGGAAGAAATAAGGAAGGCTTATGAGAAGTAAGGATAACTAAGAGACAAAGGATATTTGGCTTCAAAATATTATTAATTATTTTGGTTCAAATTAAGTGATCTAAATAGAGGCATAGCCAGTTTATCTGATTATAACTAACCTAAAATTGATTAGATTAGAGATATAACCAAAAAAAGAATCATGGAACTAAATGGCAGGGATATCAAACTTGTCAAAAATAAGTCAGCCATAGCCTTAATAAAAGGTTGTAAAACAATAGTTAAAGTAATGTCTTTCATGGTTGACAATTACAAATTGGATTAAAATCTATTGAATCAAGAAGTATTAAGAATTATAACAGTCGAAAGATTCCAAGAAGCACTATTTCATATATTTACTATAGATACAATGATACTAATCTCACTTAATGAGATCAGACCTAATGATGATTTTACTGATCTATTTGAAATTAATGAGGAAATTAAATAAAAATATAAGAAACCTACCAAAGTAAAATCTTGGAATACTGCTTTGGTAGAAGCTTCAAGTGACGAACACACTGAAGATGAAGATGTATTATTAGTAGAAGTTAAAGTTAATAAATTCTTACCCAAGAATTAATTTGCAAAGGATGACATTAATCAAATTAAAGATAGTGAAATTTATAAATTATGCAGCACTGATTAAAACCATAAATTTTATAGTTGGTACAATCAAGCCAAAGATGATTAAGCAGATCTGATTGTAAATGTTAAGGAGTTTAATGATACTCAAGAAAAAGTTAAATAATAAGAGCTATAAAAACCAGAAAATCGTTGGCAACTGAAAAAGAAAACTCCTTATGTTGCCAAGAAATAAATGAAGGCTATTGAAAAAAAGAAAAAGATGATATTAGCTTAAAATTAAAAAGAAAAGGACAAGATTAAAACTGTACGAGGTAGAATCAAATTAGATAAAGAACTGTTCCATTGTCAATACACTAAATTCTTTGATAAAGAACCTAGCGAAAGTGAAGTTGAAGAAGACGATTATCATTATTCCCTAGTAGATGCAGATTAGATTTATAAATTGATGATGAACAATTAACATATCTAATGAAAATATAATAATTGCAAATAAAGTATATATGGTTAATTCTATTGATGATAAAATTATTATAAAATTTAATTTCATTTCAACAAAATACCTAAACTTTTAGAAAATTATTCATTATTGATCCTATTTAAATTTTAAAGCAATCAAAATATAGCGTATGATAGATAGAATTTTCTAATTTGTCATCTAACTTCACTTAATTTATTTAAATATTCGGAAATCGGTAGTTAAGATTGCTAATCCTTGGTAATAATCTATATATTTTCAATATTCAATCGTTCCCAAGTTATTTCAATATTCATTTCATAAATTGGTGCAAAGTGAGGCTTGCATAATAATAATTTATAAATTTGATGAAAGTATTTCTTATTCTATTAAAGTATTTATATAAATGAACTCCTCGGAAGTGATCCTTTTCTGATTGACTAATTAATAATGACTTCTAAGTTTATCATATAGATAGTATATTATTAATTTAGATACTAAGGTTATCAACCTATTATAGAAAAAGATTTTACTTTAATTTTAATCTGATATTTCATCAACTCTACTCTGGGCTAAATCTATATTTTATTCTATTTTTTATAAAAGTTAATTCAATTACTCAAATGTACTTCTTATAATTACATCAAATTTGAATTTTATATTTTATAAATATTTCGGTCATAATTTCTTTTAATCTACTATTCCTTCTAATTCAAGTTTGATAATTAATTCAACCTTCCGCAATTCTTGTTATTTATCTTAACCCCAAGAGTCGCGTTATTACGAAGCTTCATTTTTCTATAGTATATGACTTTTCATCAGTTGTATGTAGTGACTAGCCAAAATTGTGAATAGTTATTTCAGAATTTCTAAATATTGGTAATAAATAACTTTTCAAATAATAGACCGCATTCAGCTAAAGCTAATTCTTTTATATCTTAATTTCTGAATTAGTTCTGTTATGGACATAAAGATGTACATGTAAAAATTATCAACTTTTAATCGATTTGTTCCTAAAAATAATCATTATTATTTAGTGTTTTTCTTCTAGTTTCCGAAAAGCATATCTATTCCTCAATATTTTATTCCAATATATTTATAAATCTAGATTTATTACTAAAATTAATTTCTGAGACTGACATATAATTCTGTTAGAGTAATAGTATTCTATGGAAATTTCTTTGTAAAGAGGTTTGAGATTTAGTGAGAGCATTTAGAAAATTATGTTTTTATAATTTTATTACATAATCAAAAATAGATCATTACACATTATTTTCTAAATACATTTTGTATTAAGAGAAGAGTATGCACATTTTTTATAAATATTTACATCAAAATAAAAGAATTATGTTATTATTCTACTACAATTGTCTAAAGATTCACAATAGATAGAAAATAAATAATTCTTAAATTTCAAACATGTGAATAAATTTAGTTTATTATTCAAGTTATGATTATGATATTAACGCATTCATCACAAATAAATAATATTAATCATAAATCGAAGTAAGCACTAAGATTGCTAACACTTAATTTTTCATCAAATGGGTTTTCATCATTCTAAAATGTAGAACATTAATTAATCTAATCCTTCATATTATTAGAATCTTTTTCTTAATTCTTATTACAAAAAAGTTGAATTGGTTAGTATTGAAAGAAATGCTTGATAAAGAAATCGTCATCATAAGCATATTATGTTTACTTTGCTGCATTTAAAAAGTTTTTATCAAAAAATTGTTCTTTAATATTACAATAATATACTAAAATATGGATTGCTAATGCTTTAATAGAATTTTACACAAAAGTGTTACATATTTTACCTACGAAATTCGCTTCTAATTTATGATTGTAAATATTTCTATTGAAATTTAATCAAATGTTACAATTAAGTTTTATTATGTATTCTTTAGAATTTTTTGTTATTATTTTTTAATTTCTTCAATTTGTTTATGCAAATGTAATTAATTTAATCTTAGTTCTTCTAATTGATTAAACTAGGAAACAAAGACATTGGCTTCTGAATTTTAATTTATAATTTTTTTAATCTATGTTTCCGAATGAATATTGAATTATTTATTAACGTACTCAACACTATTTTTCTCTTTATTTAAACATTTAAATCCATAATAATTCAGTTACCTAGATTTTAGAAAATTATCATAACCTTCTAAAACTCTGGTAGTTAATATGTTTACAATATTCTGGTAATGCGTGATCAATAAATTTTTGGAGATTCAGGATTATGAATCCATCATTGGATTCTAGAACGTATATGATATCCTTGAACTTTTAATCCTAAGTAAATAAAATTAATATACAAGAAGCATCTTCTTTAATTTAGAGATAAACCCTTATTTCTTTTCCAATTTGCGTTAAGTTGGATCATCATCTTAATTGTGGATCTAAACTTATTGCATAAATTAAGTTGATTAAAATAAATGATTATAATAATATAAAGATATTAATCATTGAATCTATGATTCTTATTGACTATGCTATTCATCTTCTAGAATTTAATGTCCATAAATGCTTAGAAATCTCTATTTCCATTCTTTTGCAATTGTGTTTTACAATTTCGGATCAACAATCCCAACCAAAACCTTATAAGGAACATCTGGAATGATATTAAATGTTGGAGTTAATTCATGCACAATTTTATCAACAAAGACATCAGCTCTCTTTTTGATATAAATATCTTCTTTAATGTCTTCCTCTGTCTTTTCAAGATCACTCATATCATATGACTAATATAATTATTTCAAGTTCTCTGGTATTTCAACCTTTCCACTTTTAGTGACTTCTTTTAATCCTATTTTCTAATTATACAATTAATCATAAAATGATGGATGTTCATCTGCTGGAATTATCTATAATTAAAACATTTCATACTTTACAGCTATTTTATTAACAATAATGCATTGCATAGATATTCTCTAATCCTGCATAGAAATCAAGCTCTTTCATCTTAGTCACTTCTCCAGGATTTGTTTTTAAATGGTAATCTACTTTCTTCATTATTTCCTACAAGTGTGGATTCCTAAGTATAGGTCTATAATCCTCTTCTAATTGTTTTTCTGAGATTTATAATGCTACTAATTTAGGTTTAGCAACATCCAGCACTTCCTTCAATTATGCTAAGTCTTCTCCTGTCTTCTTATATCCCTGCAAATAGAAGAATGTCATTGTACTATATAGAACTCTCATATTATCCTTATTTAGAATTGCATTCCTTCTCTAAATTAAACTTTCAGTATTTAATGATCCCTGACTTATTCTTGGCTTCACAATTGAATAAATAGCCAAAATAGCAGTGGATCCTAATCCAAACATTATTGCTGCTTTTTCTGCCTTTGTCATTTAGAAATATTAAAATTTAATTATGTCAATTATTTAATTTTTCAATTTTTTTTGTTTCTTTATAATACACAGCTATTCATATAAAAATAATGGAAAAAATCATCTATATTTATTACAGGCTTCTTATAAACTCTTAAACCAATCTATAGGTCCACTAGCACTTGCTCTATTAACGATCATTTTTGGAATATATCCTTTAATATCATTGTTAGAACAAATCGAGATTTTTACATTGTTTTATTCATAAGCCTCGAAAATCATGGATGATATTTCTGTGTGTGCTCTAATTCTATTTCTATTGACTGGATGCTAAGGATAATCAATAGAATAGAATATTAAAGTGATCTACCCTTTTTCTGGAAAATCGTATCTCAAAATTCTTCTTTAAACCCATTCTCTAGGAGTGACGAGACTTATTGGAGGTTGAACATAATATGCCAATATATCAATATCTTCAGATTCAGTTTTTATAATTTAGAAATCTCTTAGTAATTTATCCCTATTTAGTTAATTTTTATTAAATACCATTCTCTCCTTAATTTAATGTCGTAAACGACTCTCAAGGCTAATTCTAAAGAGGTCTATCAAACTTAAATAAATAATTATTACATTTTTAATAATACAAAAGCCTTTAATAAACACGTTGTCAGAGCCTTCCTTCATAGTTTTGTAAATTTATGCATCCTTATTGTTAATTGCCAAATCCCATTTGTCAGTAGGTTCATGTATCAAATTTAAAAATAAATCAAATTTTTTAATTGATTATTAACAATAGTGTTAAGGGTATCTCGAGAATTATTTTTCTTTTTCTGGATTATTAATTATATCTTCATAAGATTGATATGGAGTTGAATTTATGTTGCATTTAGGATCAATTTTGGTGAAATAGATTTTATTTGGGTGAGAATGTAACTTTAATTTAATATCTTAAGGGTTTTATTCTACAATTTTTTCTAGTTCAATTTAAGATTCATTATTTTAAATGATGACATCACACTATTATTCTTCAATTTGAACTTGTTCTATATTTATTTTTATTTCTTCCTCCTATAATCTATTCTAATTTGCATTCTATTTCTGCATAATGCATTAAATATCTTAACCAACATTCTCCAAATTTCTGAAGTTTTATTGTTAAACATATAATTTGAGATTTGTTGTATTTACACTTAAATTTAATTATGAACTCAGCATCTTTATATAATAGATACTCATTTATGGATCAGGGAATTACTTAGACAATTGAACAATCTCATTTGAATAAAGGAATTCTCTTGCCTTTTTAATTATCTATGGCTATTTATAATTAGGTAGTTAATTTGAAAATAATGTTACTACAGGTTTTATTACATTGTCTATGGCTTTCAACACAGAGATTTCCAGTTGATTTCTCTAATTAATTTATTGATTAAGCAATTTCATTTCCTCTTGATTCAGACACACATTTTAATCCTACTAACTATAATATCTTAAAATCTTTAATTATTCCTCCAACAATAATAAGCTTAATTCTATCGAACACAAATACAAATCTTGATTAAGGAATAAAAAGGTCTTTTTCAATAGATTCTAAAGTTGAGTTTAGTTGTTAGTTGAAAAATACTTTAAATGTAGAGCTATCTTAATTTCAGTTAGGATTTTTTCAATAACAAATCTTTGGAGATTCATATTATAACAGTATTACTTTTTCTGTAAATATGCCCATTTTAAAATAGTTCTTACTTTTATGTCATAAATATCTATTTCCTTTACATCCTATTTATTTTATAAAGTCTTCTTAATTCTCTTTCCTACTTAATGACCTCCTACAACTCCTAATACACCTCCTCCAATTCCACCTACTAAAGCAAATCCAAAAACAAAAAATCCTATTGCTCCTAACACAATCATTCCTAAAACTGTCCTATTAATTTAGATGTTCAAATATACCCTAAATTCCTTTGATCAAATTCATCACTCTTCTAAAGCATCTCATCAAATTCTTTTTTTTAAGTTGGAGTTAGATAATTTTAGGGCAAATAAAAATGTTTTGACAATAACAGTTAGATAAAACTGGATGGTGTTGTGGCAAGTGCACTAAATTCAATTCCTAACAGAATATTTAAAGTCGGATGAAGTATTCCAAATTCATAAAACTAACAACAATAATTCCACATCTTTTGAAATTTTTGTATTTTTAGCATTTATTGAACTTGCTGTAAGTAATTTTACATAATATATTCTTTTTAAATAAATATAGGATATGGCTTAATAATATTATGAATAAATAATATAAAATAATAAATCTAATATTTATTAATAGTGTAATTAGACAATTACTTATTGATTTTACATATTAATTATAATACATAAATTTTAATGTTGTATCTAATGAAGGGAGATGCTTTACCATCAAATTAGTTATAGATGATCAATTTTAATAGGATATAAAAGTATCATAATCTATAAAAATGGAATGATTATGAATATGATATTGCTATTCATTGTAATCGCATATCTGTATTTAATTTGTTATCATTTTGAATAAGAGTCTTTTAAAAATATAATTAAAATTATGATCATACCTACATAAGACTTACCTTTTAATTCCTTACAATAAGTAAGAATTATAGTATAATAGGAAGGTGGGACAAAGAGATGTAAATCAAGACATATTTGATTTAATATATTGGGTTCAATAAGAAATACTAAGTCCTGAATTGTTGCCATATTTTGATGTTTCGAAAATTCAGGATACTTTAAAAGGGTAGTTGGAATCAATCCAAGATCTAAAGAGAGAATTGTCTAAGCATAATAAATAACGAGATACTCAATATTTGACACTGCATGTAATTGAATTGGAGAGGATCTAATATTTTTATCAATAATATTTAAGAACAAGAATGTAAAAGTTGATCTCAAATGCGTTCTATTATTATAACAATATTGGAGAATATCAAATGAGTTTGAGAGAGAAAGAATTCTTAAAAACATTGGTTGAAAAACAAGCAGACTATTTATTCACAAATTGTTTATAATATTATCAGAAAACTTAGAGAAACTTTGGAGTGAGATTGGATAATCAAAATTAATCGCAATAAAGTTAATAGGATGATAAAATCAGTAAAATCAAGTTCGATGTTATATAGATGTACAAAAGCCAGATGTTAATTAATATGTAGTAATTCATGTGAATACATCAAGAACTATACATGTTGGGTCTATGTAATTGATTAATAATATTTAAAAGAGCATTGAGTGAAAATGACAGCGCCTTAGTTTCATATGACGACATAAAGTAGTTATCATACGTTATTCTTAGATTCATGGTACCAATTAAGAGTGTGACATTGATTTGAAATAATAATATTATTTTTTCATCAAATCTTTATGAATATTATCAACCAGTTATTGGCAGGAGCTAATTGTATGACAATTCATAACCAGTTTAGTGTTTAGACTCAATTTCCAGATGTGCAACAATAAGAACGCCATTCCCTAACCAAAAGAAAAGGAAGAATAACTAAATTTGCTTTAAAACACTATTTTTTCTAATCTAGTACTTATTCTTCCTAATTAATTAGCTCATGGCATCCTAGATGAAAACTGTCCAGTAATCACAAACTTAATAAGTCTAAGTAGTACAAAAGTCAAAAAAGATGTATCTATTTCTAAATATCGTTTTAGAAGTAAACGTAATAATAATTGCGGACATCCTGAAAAAGAACATTATGCGAAGGGTATGTGCAATAATTGTTATCATAAATACGGTAGAACTAAGAAGCCTTGGATCTGTGGACACGATAAATTATACGCTTGTAATAATTATTTATTAATAACTTTTAGAAGGATTATGTTAGAATTGTTATATCAACAAATACAATTAAAAGAGAAGAGAATAAGGCGATAATGAAGTTCTCAAACAAGAAGATCCAAATCAAGAATAATTAGAACAATAATAATAGTCATGATTATTTATTTTCTAATTATATTAATAATATTTTTTCCTTTGTTATTGATACATATATTTCTTATAATGATAACAATAACAATTAATCATTTCTTATTGGCCTCTTATAATAACTCATTAATAAGACCTCTCATCTTTGGTTGTACAATATAACCTTTCACATCAAGATATTCGGCACTGTCAATTTTACGCTCAACTAACTAGAATTATTAATCTATTATCTATTTACTAAGGCTTTGTGTGGCATACTATAAATTCTTAAAACAACAAATTTCTAATATAATTCTTATGATGCTCCAAATCCAAATGTCTTTCTGGTTTTCTTGTCCTGACAATTATTTAATTTCATTACATCATACAGTATAAAAATATCTCCTTCTTTGACTTTCTCAAACCATTAATAAATGTATGTAGATACATAATAACTAATACACGTGTATAATCAAATTTACAATATGATGCATGCTATCAATATATAGTAATCTTGAGGATATGGTATGAAGTGATAATGTGAATAGATTACATTTACAATCATAAACAAACCAAAAATTACTTTGTAATTCTGAAATTAAAAGTTTTCTTTCAATCCATCTTTGGCAATTAATTCATCTGAGATAAATTTACAAAATGCATCCTTTGTCATATAAGTATCAAATTTATTTTCAGTCCTATATATTTCTATGTTTATTTGCTATTTTACTTGGTTTTTATTCTTTTACCATTTTATTAAATAATAATTTATTAAATCAACCTTCCTCTTCATTTTCATAAGAGATTAATGAAGGGTAAAAAATGAATAAGATTAAAATCTATTAATTATTAAACTCATCATTTTAGTCTATTATTGATGAGTATAATTCCTTACAATATTTTTATAATAGAATTAGCAGATTTATGATTATACGAAAGAATGTGCTGCTGATTCCTTACAATAGTCCCTTTAATCTTGAGATGGAGACAAATGTAACTGTGAATTAAATGCTGAACTATTTTAAAGAAAACGAGCAGTAGATTATAATATTAAGTTAGTTTATTAGGAGATACAAATATGTGGAGTTGCTATTCATACAATAGGAATATAAAATTAGGGGGCAATGATGAAGTTGGAAATATGGATGACGAGTTATTCATTATTGTTTGTTAAAAGCATATTGAAAAACAAAAATCGATTGCACTCACTATTCAACCTTAGAATATTCGCTTCATTTTGAAAGTAACTAATTAATTTTAGGTCCATGATTTATTCACCCATATTCGTAACAAATATTCGTAAATTAAAAAATATCATTAGACTTACTGAAAATTATTAGAATTGGAGATGTTATTCCTAAGACTACAATCAACACCTGAAGCCAAACGAGAAGCTTTTAGATTTGTAAATGGATAATTTCATCATTGCCACGGATGAAATTTATATTCAAAAACGAATATAGGCTGGATTAAATGTTCATTTGGCTATGGAAGTGTAATCAGATTCCAAAATCATTGAAATAGTGCGATTTATTTAAAAATATTTAAAGTATACTTAAAATTGAATAATCAGATTATAAGGAGATATATAGTAATGGACATGTCATTCTTTATAATTAAATAAAAATCTGGAGTTTAATTCTACAGTAAATGACATAGTTGGTGAATAATTGCTTATCACTACTACAAATGGCATCTTTAATACTTAAAATCTATTTTAGACTACTTTTGATACTTTAAATTATGGTTAATCGATGAATTAGACAAATTAAATATTCCATCAATACGATCAAGTATGTTTATTTACATATGAATAGTCATAATTAAGTGTTTAATAATTAATAGAATTAAAAATCGAGATATTGGAAGGTGTTTATAAAAGATCCTTTGTTGATCATTTTAATCCTAATACTCAAATTGAAAAGTTAGCTATATTTATTTTAAATTATTTATCCCTTGACATGTAACACTTAAATAACATACAATCTTTAGGTCTTAAGTTGCACTTGATCTTTTTATAAATGGACATTAATACAATAATTAAAGAGATAGAGTCTAAACTTTGTATTAATTCGGTATAAAAAGTAATTCCATAGTTTAAGCTAAAGTAAGATGGTTAGATACAAAAGCATGTTTAAATTGATACAATTTATACTATTTTTTATATCATTATGGAATTATATAAATGCTTTTAAAATACACTACAGAACTTATTATATCGTAATTTACAAATGAAATATACATCATTAATCTTCTATATTTTCTCTTTTAACAGGGAAACGTTCTCTCTTTTTTTTAAGTTCTTTCTTGGCAATTGGTAATTGGAATAACCATTCAGGCACTTAACATCCTGATACCTTTAACACATTGGCCAATGATCGCAACATAGATTTATCGTCGTCTGTAAAAAGAGTAATGGCCTTCCCTTATTTACCTGCTCTGCCAGTTCTGCCAACTCTATGTACATAAGTAATCATAGATTATGGGAAATCATAATTAATAACTAATTACACATCTTTGAAATCTATTCCTCTGGCCATCATATCAGTACAAATAAGCATCCAGATTGTTCCCTTATGAAATTACTCGACAATTTCTTATCTTGTCTTACTCTCCATATCTCCATGAATACAATTCACTCTAATTACTTTCAATTGTTCTATTTCATACATCAAGGCTTCAGCTCTTGTTTTAGATTGAACGAACACCAAAACAGGTGGAGTCATTTATCCTTCATTTATTAAATTCTTTATTTCTTATATTTTTCCATATTCATTTGATACATATCTCAATTGTTAATCAATCCTACTTAGAACATGATTTCTTCCACCTATCATAATTTTGATTGGGTCTATTAGCAATTCTCTATAAATATCTTCGACTGGCTCAGGTAGTGTAGCACTGAAGAACATGTAGGTGATTTGTAATGATTCCAATATCCTTAACAATTATTTTACCTAAGCTAACAATCCTAATTCAAAATATTTATCAGCTTCATCCATAATTACATATTCTACAGTACTTAAGTCAACTACTTTATGCAATTTCAGAAACTTAAGTGGAGAACTAATAAGTATATCAATATGATTCCATGCTTATTTAAAAGCTTACTTTTCTCTGTTCATTTCTTGAATTTGTTTAATCTTCAATTCCTTATTAAACTTATTGAATTCTTTGTATAATTAATCAGCCAATTCTTAAGCAGGGGCAAATACTAAACATCTTGGGCCTCCTTCTTTGTGATTTTCTAAATTGTGCAATGTAGGCAAAGCAAAAGCACAAGTCTTTCCAGATCCTGTAGGGGCTATTGCGATCAGGTTCTTCTTTTGAAGAATGATTGGAATAGCAACCATTTAGATTGGAGTTGGCTTTTGATAACCAGATTTAGTCAATTGATTCATTAAATCTTAATTGAGATAATTCTTCATCTTTGCAAAATTGGTCAGAATAGGTGCATTTATATTATCTCCACTTATTTTAATTTTCAATTTTTTGAGCAAAGTGTTTCTATGCTAAATCTCTTATGTTCTCCTTTTGGTCATTTCTTGTTCTATTTGATCCAAACTTTCCTTCCTTCTTGCTCTTCTGAAATCATGTTCAACTACTTTTGGTTACTCTTCAGATTCTGATTCTGACTTTGGGGCTTCTACCTTTTATTCTACAACTACTTTTTTCTTTTTTTGTGTACAAATTCCATTCTTTAAGACTTAAAATATACTCAGCATAATTAAATTTATTAATGGATAAATAGTGTACAAACATATTATTAATCAATATTTTCATGTTCTTCACAAACACTTAAATGCTGATAATGAGGACTGAATAAAAGTATAATTATGATTCAAATATACTAAATAAATTTATACATTTAGCTTAAGATCATGATATATAAATGCTGATCTGATGAAAATTAATTATAGATAGCAATTAAGATTAAGTCTTATAATTATATTTATTAAGAATGTAAACTAAGTCTAATGATTTCCGAGTAAAAACATCAAGGCAAATATCTAAACGACCTTTGTAGTAGACATCTTTGTAAGGTGTCCAAGGAGTTTCGTAACCAAGTAGTTTATACATTTGAATAATAGCATTGAAAAAGAAACTTTCTCCAATCAGATTAAATAAGTATAATGTGTTTATGGATTGTTTTAAATGACTTGACATAACAAAAGTTCGAGAAATGTCAATCCAGAATATTATTTTAGCAAATTGAAGAGAAAGTTAAGAAAAATCAATTACTATGCATCTTATTCATCTAAAATGTGACTGTGTATAACAAATATGATTTACCAAACAATAAAGTATATATATGAGTAATCCAGATTCCACCAAAATTTTCATGGGAAGCCATCTATCGAGGAAAGACATTAATGTTTGACCACCCCACATTAGTACACAAAAACCTGTCATGGATTAGTAGATTTTATGTTTAAATCAAATGCCAAATATCCATTAAAACTAAAATTATTGAAAGTAAAGAATTATGAAGAACAATACATTGGAGAGATAGATTTGTCAGTTTCAGATTTTGTCGATTTTGAAGTTGTGTAAGAATATTAAGGAAAAATGATAAAGGAAACATTTGTATAGAAGGAGATGTTTAAAGTATATAATGATTAATCAGCATCAATTGGATAGGTCAGTTTGAAAATCATACAGTTTTGTTCTTCCAGTGTTCCTTCAAGTATTAAATTAATTAATTGAAGATAAATCATCCAATATTCCAGGATCACCAAAGACATTAGAATAAAGAAAGAAGCATTAACAAATAGAAGAAGGAAAAGTAAAAGGGTTTGATTGGGGAAGTAGCAAAGATGAAGAAATTATAATCTAATTGATTCTAGAATGCCAAAAGGAAATGGCATCAAAAATTAACCAAAATCTTGAAGAAGTCGTATAGAGAATCAAATGTAAATATTGGTATAATAAATGCTAGAGATGGAGAATACACTCTGCGGATTACTAAAAGAAAGTTGTTTTGCTCCAGACATTATGGGAAGAAGAAATGCTTTGGTTAGAATAAAGAGAATAAGAGAATTATTGGATAACCAGATCTCTGGTTTATTGAAATAATCAGATCCTGCTTATTTGGAAATTCTTGTTTAATTAAGATCGACTACAAAATATGGAAGAATTAAGAAAACAGATATTGAATCTGCACTCTTCCACTTCGGTTGTGAAGCAGCTAAACTATTATTATTGACAGTTGATGATTTCGGAATGTGTTTAGTAGATTATATGTTGGATTCTGACTCATTGCCTGAATTACTATATTTCTTTAATTAATTAGGTTTAAATGAAGATGTGCAACTAGAAATGTTTGCATAATCATTATTTCAAAATATTAAAGAGAGACTAAGAAAGAACCATTACTTGAAAGCTCTAGCTTGTTTTATTAACGCTTTGAATATGTACCCAAATATCGGGTTGATCATTGCTTAATATTGCTACAAATTCCTGAAAATTCATAAATTTTGTCACCTTTTTCTATTGGAATTCAATATTCATGATTATTAACATGTGATAGTGTTATCTAAATTAAGAAAATTATGCAAGAAATTCTTAAATCCAGAATTGCCATTTATGTAATCTATGGAAGAACAATATCGGAAAGCCAAATAAGAAACCTATTTCAAAATTCCTATTCTACCAAAGAAAGTCGAAACATAAGAGAAATTTGATTTATTATAATTGCCAGAATTATAATAGAATATATTCCACGAGATTGTAAGGAGAAAGAGATGGAATTTATTTGCAAGATCTTGGAAACAATTTGAACAATTTGTTTATTAACAAGATCATTAAGGAATTTCTCCTATGATGATGTATTTAGAAAATGCACCCCTAGATTAGATTCTTAATATAGATTCTCTTTAAAATCAGACCTCATTAAGTGGTTAAACATCTTTGCACTATTTGATTATGAATCCTGATTTATCAGTTAATTCTTTATAAGCTTGTATTAATAAGTTTAATATGTTGAATGACAAGGTTTGGCTTGGATTTACACCTCTGGCCTTATTTTTGGATAGACTAGTGTATAAATAGAAGAAGCATAAAAGTAGAATTATTAAAGAATTGAAAGCTGCTCAAGAGACCAATACGAATAAAGGTGTTTAAGTATTAGAAATCCTAAGTCAAACTGTAATTAACATCATTAAGCATTTCAATTTCAGTAAGTATTTATTGTATTGTCAAAACATCAAAAAGGATTACTTCGATGAAGATTTCAAAAAAGAAAAACTCAAAAAACCATTTTAAAATCAATAATAGAAAAATAAGTAAATTATTGAATGGGATCATTTTTATTATTAACACACAGTTCCAGCAATGATTCTGTGTAAATTAGATGAATCAATTCAAGAATTAATATGGTAATAATTTGATTGGATAAATTGGCTATGTAGTAAATAGAATTATCCATATGAAACATATTACAATCATACATTAATGGTTTCATTAGCTAAAACGACTCAAACTCAGTATATATATTAATATCTGACCAAAGATGTCTAAATTACTTACAAAGATAACGATAATTTTAGTGGGGATAAAAACAACACTTTTGATTTCTTACCAATCTTCTAATCTATTTATTAAATAGCTGAAATAACCACAAAACTAAAAGATGATATACAAAAGAAATATAAGGGAATATAAGATATTAATAAAAAGAAAGAAGATGAGGATGACAATCCTAAGAAAAAAATAAAATTGATGTATCAAAACCTTGCCTAATAAAAATACTAGTAAGTATTGGATTAATTGATGTCAGAATAACAATCTACAGAGGGAATGCTATAGAATAACTTTAAATATTAAGGTGTTGTTAATGATCTGATGGTTGCCAAGAGTCTCAACTTTGGAAAACTTTTCAGAAAAGCCTACGATTCTAAATTCCATGACATGTTGAATTTCGTGGACATTTTATTAAAGGCATTGAGTCACAATAATATGCCAGCTGCTCATATGGCCTTATTCTTTGCTTAATTGAGAATGAACAAGAGCCTAAGAGTTGCTTAATTAAAGACCAATCAATAATTATATTTACAATCATTAAATACTCATTGGTGTATTGAATTAGACTTTGCATCATTCTAGGCTATGATCAATGATATCAAAGACATTTGTCAATAAAATGAAGTCAACTTTGTGATTTTGATCTTAGCAATGAATGGGAGATTCAATAAATTAAAATTGATCCATGATAGAATGACCAATCAAAATTATATTATTTAAGCCTTGCCTATAGCAGCTCATTAAATCAATACAGTTAGAAATGCACTCTATTATGAAAATTTAAATAAGCTATTGTAGGAATGTGATGTTAAGAGACTTTACCCTGAAGACAATCTAGATTTCTTTAAACCTCCAAAAGATAAGGAAAAACCAAAACCAGATCCAAAGAAACCTTTTGATAAAGCAAAACCAGTTTTTCAAAAGTGGATTATCGTTTAAGGAGCATTAGTATATATAATAATTATTACCAAAGACTACCCAATTATAATAGATATATAAATATGCAGCCAATAGCTACTAGAGAGTTAAATCAGAATTCTCCATTCTAGCCAAACAATACTAATAATTATGGTATTAGGAATACTCTTATAAATTAAGAAGATTATTCCCGAGATAAAATTTTAGATCTGTCTTTTATTCCTCAAAGTAGAAAGAATCTGATTTTGTCAAAACGATAGAGTTATTAATTGAAAAAGTACTCTAACTAAAATTGACCCCTTCTGATGATTTCTTCAATTATGTTCATGTTCATGATAAGTTTAGTGAATTGCTATCCTAATCTCCCAATTAGAACATTTGCATTGTTTAGGCATTTAAATCTATGATCAATCTATTCAAATATGAATAGTCAAATGAAGTTTTATCAAGATGTATCAATTTCTTAAAGAAATATTTAAATTCCAAAATATTTAAAGATTTGAATGAGCCTGACACATTTATTAGAGAAAGTCAATTATTAACAAATTACTTATCAAAAAGTGATCCATCATCTACTCAATGTAAATTTGCATGCGAGGTCTTAATTCTGATGGATCAAAATTTTACTACTTAAGAATTCGAGACCCTTAATATCATTTAATAACCATAATAATTAGCAAGTCTATTATTAAAGTACAAAACCTTAGAAAAGAGAACTTTAGGTTTTATCTAAAAATACTTAAATTCTAGTAATAACTAAGCTAAATAAGCCTTGCCTTTTAATGAATCAAACATGAGGTATATTGTAGATTTGGCAAAGCAAGGAATAAACTTAATAAATGAGAATGCCTTGGAGTTTTTGATTACAAAAGGGTTGTTCAATTATTTAAAGGATTACTTCTTAAGTTCATTGAAACCTAAGGGAATGCTAAATGATGATTAAAAGTAGTTTTATTTGGGATTTGCATTTTCAAGTGGTTCTTAAGAGACAATTCAATTATGTTTAGAAGATCTGTGTAGCCTAAAGAGTAGTGAACTGAAGTAATTTATGCTAGAAGGCAACTTATTGAGTCGAGCCATTGCAAAAGGATCTCAAGAGACCTTATTATATATTACCAGAAAGATAATGAAATAGTTGACTTTCAGTGGTAAAGAGATTTTGAAGTTATTGCTAATTTAAGAAAACATTGCTGAGCCATTTTAATTAGACAAATAAAAGAGATCCCTATTCACAACAATATTCTTATTGAATTACGATATTTTTTATAAAGAATTTTTTGTGGATTATCTCTAGAAGATACTACCTTAGGATTATAAAAATATTATGATAAAGATATTAAATGCTACAGTGTGTAAGCTGGATGAAAATAATAGTTGGACTGTATTTTAATTAGCTATCAATTGTGGATTCTTTGATGTAATATAGACAGTGTTATAATTGAATATCAATATAGATCCATAGGATTTAAAGGATATTTCAATAAGCAATTTGCCTTAGAGATGGCTATTTTAGACTCCACAATAATTGGAGAATTTATTG